CGGCTGGTTTTCAAGCATGTTGGCTCGACAAAAGACGTGCGACCGTACAGTAGAAACGGTCGCACGTCTTAGTTCACACTGCTCGATTCTCGTACGATCGCGGGATTTCGCCCGATTCTCGTACGAGAATCGAGCAGTGTATGGGCACCTTTACTCCCAACCTGGCCATTCGAATCTGATCCTTAAGGTGCCCATACACCTTACGATTTTCGTATGCGATCGACTTTTCGGCCGATAATCGTATGTGTGCATTGCAGTGTCCGACCGACATTACTGTACAATCGTACGACTTTTGACGGTCAAGCATGTTTGAAAACGTTGCTAGATCGTACGATTGTCGTAAGGTTGCTGGCGTTTCCGTCCGTCAAAAGTCGCACGACCTACACTGCACTAGCGCTAACAAAAATACGGCAAATCAATTACCGCATTTCGTCCAGGTGCTTTTCGTTAATTACGGCTAAATTAATCTTGCGATCATCGGGGCAGCATGGGGCTGCCGTACGAAAATCGTATGACTATTCGATCATCGGACGAAAAGTTTCGTCCGATAATCGTAAGGTGTATGGGCACCTTAATTCTAAGCCCAAGAACACTAATCAGTGATCGTTGGTCACATGTGTGAACTCTATTTTATATTGGTTCCCTCTACAATACTCGATACATTTAAGAAGATCCTCATGTGTCCCATCCCAGAGAATGATGTCATCAATATATCTAGCACAGAGCGCCAGGCCCGGTAGATGCCTGCACTCTTCCTTTTGCGAGTAGGTTTTTATTGTCCTTATACATGAATTTATAATAAGCGTTAATACACAGGAGAAGTCGCTCTTTGGTGTTTGTTTGCAGGAAGGCGCATTCTAACTTTTCAAAGTAGGAGGATATTTGTTAATGCTTGCAGATACCTGTATAGTTTGCTTCTCAGGCACTTAGGAGCAGGGAATGATATTTCAGGGATACAAACTGAATATTTGCTTTCTGATTCCTCTTTGGCTCCCCACCTCTAACCTTCCTGTGTCACCGCACAGGTTAGCAGATATCTCTATGCTTCTATGGGGTCTTCTAGACCGAGGTGTCATTGCCCCAATATCTGTGGCAAATCGGTTTCAGGAGTTGTACTCCAACCTGGTCACTGTTCTCTTTCCCAAAGAGAACATCTGTCTCACTTAGGGCGTGTAAGTCCACAAATATTGCACAGTATGTAGCAGATCTATAATTGCTTCACTTCTCCAAAGGGACTTTTCCGGCTTCTGTGGTCAATTAGGACATGTCTCCATCTTTACAGTTTTCCGACTTTTCAGTCTTGCCTTTCCACTCAAATCTTCCCCAGGGTCCAGGCCCCAGTATTAGCTATGTTCCATTCTTATGGCAACCCCATTGTGGAGTACTTACAGTAGGTGACCCTCTGCAGCGAAAACAGTTGGTATGGTCTTTATGGACAACATCTCTTTATTTGTCCAGATGTCTCAACCATTTGGTTGGATGTGGAATCTTCAGAACTTTGGGCTTGTAGGCATTTCAGTCCAGTAAGTTTCATTCACAGAAAAATCTTTGGTCTAGCCAATCTCATGTTCATGTCCTTCAGTTTGCTATTACCTACCTCTCAGCTGCTGCAAGAGAGTCATCGGTTAGTGGGCAATCCTCTGAGGCAGCCCCTTTCGTCTCATCTCACCTCAGGCTGTTAGGAGACATCTCCAAAATCCTTTTTTCCCCCCTTAAATTACAGTCTTTAATAACTTCAGCAACTTCTGCAGGTCATTTCTTAGGGTGAGTTTGCTGATGGTGGCAACAGTGAAACGTATGAGGTTTTGGCTTTTGGGCTTGCATATACAGAAAGCTCCCCCCGTTATCCAGCATCCAAGGGGATTGGTAGATTCCGAATAAATGTAGTTTATGGTTACTTGAGAGTCACTATTAAAAATAGGTCTAACTAATGCCACACCACATACCATGCCATAACATAAACTCTGTATTGACTTCATATTAATATTGAAATGCAACAATCAAAGCAAGTTAAGACAAATAGACACACACACGTTTCCAGGATAATACATGCAGCGGATCAGAACAGGGAGTGCACAGGGATTTTTTTTTTTCTGGTTAGATGAGAGCTCTGGTTAGTTGAATACCGGATAACAGAGTTTACTTTACTTTAGTTCTGTAATGAAGCACACATTTGTTCTATCTGTACATTCTACTAGTATTTTAAAATATTTTTTTAAATGTGACTTTATTAGGAGCTTGCTTATTTTGTTATGCGTTTCCTTGCCCATTAGAACTTTGTGAATTCTTCCTCTTTTGGAAACATGAGTCGTATTACAGACCTTGTCACATGGTTTATCAACATGGGTGCAGATGTGGATACCATTGGAGAGCACCCACTTCATTCCATTATAAAGCTCTGCATAAAATCAGGTAATTTACAGTTATTTCTAGCTCTCAACAGTAGCAAATGAAAATAATTTAGCTGATGGTGGCACCCGTGCAGGGGGCGGGGGGATGAGCGCTGCGGAGACCCACTAGAAAATGAGGAATTACATTTTTTTTGAAGAAAAGCACATTTAGTCAAATATGTCGACAAGAATCTGTGCGCCTGAAGTCTTGACAGTGATGTCAGCAAATATGTCGATGAGAATCTGCGCGCCTGCAGTCATGACAGTGATGACAGCAAATGTGTCAAGGAGAACCTGCATGCAGGGGCACTCGTGACTGCACATGCCACCCGTGCTGGTGACTGTTTTTTTGTTTGGCTCATATGGGTGTTATGATGGCCAGTCTTGCGTGTCTTCCCTATGTTTTGCAGAGCTTGACTTAGAGGGTTCTTAGGGGTAAAGCATGAGGATAAAATGGGCCTAAGGGAAGTGCAAAGCTACATGCCATGTCCAGTAACAAGATTGTTGTTGTCTGCATGTTGTTGACATGCAGCTCTGAGCACTTGTTACTGCACATGCCGATTTATACATTTAGATGACATGCTGTGGACTGGTTGTGCGTAGACACCACTCACTCTAGAAAGATAGAGTGAGTCGTTTCGTTTTTGCTAGGCAACCTAGACAAGTAGCAAAAACAGGGGTCAAGCCACGTGAATAGACTTAATGCCTCTAACAGTGTGGTGTCCAGCCAATGCTAGGCTGGGTGTAGTCACTGATGAAGCTAGCCTCCTACCAAACTAACCTGGCCTGCAAATTACTTTTGTACAGTGTTACAAAAGAGTGAGAAGAGTAACTTTACCATTACCTTTGGCTCTTGCCACCACTGCACCCAACAAATGCTGGCACTCACTGCCACTGCAAATGACATTTTTGCAGCCTGTTAAGTGAATGGACACACTTTTGTTAGTGCATGATTTAAAGTAGTTTACCTGAATTTGACTTACTATTAGCCTATGCAGCCTACTGTACAGCAGACCTCAGAGAGGGTAGGACGAAGCAGCACAAGAAGCCAATTGGGCAATGAACATGCTGATAGTGGGAGAAACCTGAGTTACAGAAAGATGTGTGGTTTCTCCTTTTACAGTCCTGTCACAGGGTGAGGCGGGGATCTGCAATTGAAAGTGAAACTGCAGCAGAGAAAGATCATGTTCTTTCCCCTGCTGCAATATGCTTAGTGCCAGAGCTGTGTAAATCTCAGGACTGAATGGACAGGAATACAAATCCTTTGGCAGATAAAACAGCACTTATGTATGTGTTTCAAGTTTGTATTTAGCTGTTTGCCTGGAGTCCCGCTTTAAAGCAGAACTATGGGGTAAGTGTTTTCCCCATAGTTCTATTAAGGGTCACAGGAGGACATATTCTAGCATCCTCCTGTGACCCAAACCTCGCGGTATACTGAGATGCCGCAGCCAGGACAGATCCCGACATTACTTTCGTGATCCACCCAGCTGCGTGAGTGACAGCTGGCTCTGCCTATCTAGAGGCAGAGCCAGCTGTACCCGCCTGATTTCGAGAAGTGAGCGAGCGACGATATGTGTTCGCTCACTTCCCGATCTATTGAGCCGATGTGTGACACGTCGGCTCGAACTATGAGGTTGAGTAATTTTCACTCACCTCATAGTTCTCCTTTTAAAGAGCAGCAAACTACATAGTATATTTTTATCTATGACAGGTAGTCAAACTAGTGTTTTATTTTTTTCGTCACATGCTGCAGCCCTATTCCTTTCTTTTGTGTCCTTCAGGAATGCAAGGATTTTAACTAAAATTAAGGCATCAGCTGTTCTCTGGTTCACTAAAACTACACTTGTATATTTAAAGTTGCTGTGCATTACCTAGAGAAATAATTTATTTGCCTTTTCTCCTTTCCTTTCTCCCTTTACCAAAGTATTATAACCTTTATTTCTTTGTTCTAAAAATAAATTGATGTTGCCCTCAGTAGATATAATGCAGACCCCTCGAAGCTTTTTTTTTTCAGTCCACTGTTTCATTTAAGTTCAGCATGCCTGATCTACAACAAAAAATAGCCTTGATAGAAGTTTGTCTTTTTTAGGTGACAGCAGCCTCTTTAAACTTGTCATAAACAATACACCAGCCAAGAAGAAATGCATCAATGAGAAAGACACAGATGGGAACACACTTTTGCACCTTGTAGCCTCCTTTCCTACAAATTCAAATGACTTTACACCAAAACGTAAGTACCTTTACCTTACCTATGTGCATGTTGAATTCTGATCATATATAGACAATCATCTACTATAAAGAATATTTTAGATGAAAATCTACTCTATCAAGCTTTTAGGTCTTGGGTACTTTCTTCAGGGGATGATATCTATGAATGTATTAAATGTAAAGTATATGTAAACCCTAACAATAAACTGTGTTTTATATGCTCTCTTTTGGTCTGTTAAATGTAAACACAATCACTAAAGCTTTAGCATGTTAATCTAATTGCATACGTTGTGTCAAAGCTTTCTAAATCTTCAGCAGTATTTTGATCATTCTTCTGCTCTCCCTTGTTATGTTCAGCATTAGACGGATAAGCATGTGTAGAGCAGTGGTAGTTAACTTATTAAATATAGGGGGTCTCAAGTGCATCCCCTGACATGTCAAGAGGGCCACACAACAGCTGAGGCAACTTGTGCTTGAAATGCACCCAGAAAAAAAAAAGGATTTTTGTATTCATCGTTAAATCCTTTTCTTGATGTTCTTTATGGTTCTTAAGGGTTGTTGAGGTTCAATAAGGGCTATACTGCCGTCTACAGGAGGATTGGACATTTTCAAGATAAAAACTGTAGGCCAGTCCACGATAACCCTTTCTACTTACTGCAAGCATGCCTTAGGTTTGTAGCAAGCAGTATGAAGAGCATAATCATAAACACAGAGTGGTGGACCTGTTTCCCTCAATGTACTCCAAAAAAAAGAATTTTACCGTGAGTAAAAAAAAATTGAATTGTTTCTTTCTCATCCATTGAGTGACACACAAAGTCATTTACCTTTTGGTACCTCCAAAATCAGTCGAGCTGAGGTGCAGGTGACCCAGCAAACAAATGCTAATAGGCCTCCCCCAGAAAACAACAGAAAAAATGGGCATGTCTACAATTCAAGGAACAGCCTGAATTACCTTATGCCAAAAGCTAACATCAGATGAAGCCTGAACATCTACCTGGTAGAACAGTTGCTTGAAGCTGAAAAGCCCATGGAGCACTTGCAGATCTAGTAGAATGTGTCTTGACAGGGTGAAAGCTGATCATTGAGACCATAAGTTTGGATTATGGTCTATCTGAGCCACCTAGATTTGGTGGAATGAGAAGCTGATGCACCCTTATGAGTATCTGGGATGACAAAAAGCGAATTGGTCTTTCCGAAAGTAGCAGTTGCTGAGAGATTGACTCTCATAGTCAAATCCCCATCCAGACAATGAAGGGAAATTGTTCTTTTGGTGAACTAGAGGCAGATAGATGGACTGAATAACAATGTCCTGGTTGAGGTGAAAGGCAGAAACTACTTTTAAAGAAATCCTGGGCTTTAACATTACCTGATCCCTATGAAGCAAAAAGGTTCCTTGCATGATTGGCTCTGAGAGCTGGATCTACCTTTGCCAGTGTAAGCGCCACCGTTTAGGGGAGTTACAGTAGGCTGTTAATAGTTATAGATATTAGGGCTGAATCAACTAATTGAATGAATCTACACGAGACTGGAACAATTAAGAAAGAGCTAGTGCCCATGCCTACCAATCCATGCTGTATTTTAGCTGGAGGGCAGTACGGGCTGTGGCAATGGGTTGGGTTGAAGTGTAGTGCAGGAATGGAAGTTGTATAGAGTCAGTGCGGGCTCCCGAGCTTCTTCCTGGTTTTATTGGTGCGGAGGGTGAGAGTGGACACAGCCAGCATAGAGCAGCCTGCACTGTAGGGGTGAGCCCAACATTAGTCCACATTCCCTGGGGGAGAGGGGTACTGAGGGCTCGAGGGCAGCACTTGGAGCACAGGCCTCAGTCCAGCCATGTTCGTCTGTCGCTGAGGAGAACCACCATCATGCAGCCTCTGGCATTGGCAGCTGCAGCTCTAAGGTGGTTCTTCGGTTTGGTAAACAATGTGGTGAAAAGTGAAGTGAGCCCTTCTGCTCAGTGAACTAGATTCACTAGATGCTGTGTGATTAACAAGAAATTAACAATAAAAGTAAATAAAATTGTATTACCTTATGTCTGTCACACAGGTCAAACACAGTGTGTAAAAATGTTGCTGAGTTATGGAGCGGACCCCTGCCTTGTCAACAAACACAAAAAGGATGTTGCAACTATTCTAAAACAAAATAAAAATTTCAGTGCAGAAGATGCCGTAAAAAAGCATGTGGCAAGCCAGTCTCCACCTGTTGTTCAGCCAGCAGGACTTGCAGGTATGTATTGATGTTTTCATTCTTGTGTAACAGAGGAAAATTTTTTGCTAGTAGGTTAGAACCTAAAGGGGAACTCCAGAAAAGCCAGTGTGATTGGCTGGGGAATGTAACAGTAACACAATAGATAAGGTTAAATAAAGACAAGGGTCCATCCAGTTCAACCTATGTGTGTATTTGAGTGTGTGTCTGTATTTACCTGGCTCTAACACTTCCCATATCCCTCTAAATTAAGTGAAAGAAGACACTCATTAAGGAGTTTCTTGAATTTATCAACGCTATCAGCAGATACCACCGCCTTCGGAAGGAAATCCCACAATTTCACTACTCTCCCAGTAAAAAAAAACCCTACGAATCTTAACCTTGAACCCCCTCTCTTCTAACCTGAAGTTGTGTCTCCGGAATCTCAATACAGTTTTCAGATACAACAAATTGTTCCAAATATTTATATAAATATACAGTTTTATTCGCAAATTCCTGCATGTAGTCCCCTATCATGCCTTCGAATATTTTGCACACTATTGATGTTAAGCTGACAGTCCTGTAGTTACCCGGTGCGCTTCTTTTCCCCTTTTCGAATATTGGTACCACACTCGCCTTCCTCTAATCAGCTGGGACCATACCTGTCATCAGAGTGTCCATAAAAATTATGTACAAGGGTCTGGCTTTGACCTGGCTAAGTTCCTTTACTACCCTCGGATGTAACCCGTCAGGTGTTGGCGATTTGTTTACATTTAATCGTTCTAGCCTCTGGATTACTTTGCTATCTGACAGCCTCTCAGATACATTAAAACTGGTACTACTATCCCTGCAGCTGATGCCCTGATCGATGCCCACGTCCGGCGAATCTGTAAAGTCAGAAGAAAAGCATGCATTTAACGTGTTCGCTTATCCTTTTCTCTTATGTGTTGCTTTACCTTGCGGGTTAACCATTCTATTGCACAGGCTAATTTTGTTATTTAAGATTTCCTTGAAACTTTCCCTCAGTGTTCATATTCAGGAAGATTTCATCCCAATCTATGTCGCATAGTTGGCCTTTTAGTTTAAGAAGGTTAGCCTTTCTAAGTTGAGTCTTCTTGTTTTACCTACATGCCTGTGTTTCCTTGAGTTTACAGTGAACAATATCATTCTGTGGTCACTGCTCCCTAGGTTGTCCCTGACTTCCACATCTGTAATCAGCTCTGTGTTATTTGTAATAATAAATCTTACAGTGCGTTTTCCCTGGTCGGGGTTTCCACTAATTGTCCCATAAAATTATCTCTGAGAGTGTTCAAGAATTTACGGGCCCTTTTGTATTTGCTGTTTCATTTGTCCAATCTATATCAGGATAATTATAGTCTCCCATTATTATGATATCGCCTTGCCTCCCCGCTCCTTCTTTTTGTGCCAATATATTAGTCTCCTCCCCATCATTCGGAGGCCTGTAGCATATTCCAACCAGTAGTTTCCCCTTGTTGTCTTTCCTTTCCGTAGCTATATATAGTAACTCAGCATTATCCCAGTTTTCCTGTGCTATATCATCCCTTACATTCACTGTCGGGTCCTTACTAACATATAGGCATACTCCTCCCCCTCTTCTCCTTTCCCTATCCCTTCTAAATAGAGAAAATCCATTAATAGCTGCTGCCCAGCCAAGTGAGCCATCTAGAGAGGTTTTTGATATTCCCACTAGACTAGATCATATTCCTCTCTGAGTAGTAAGCGTTTTAGTTCCTCCAATGTGTTTGTCAGGCTTCTAGCATGGGTGAACAAGCATTTCAAGTTTTTGTTGTACTTGCTATTTTTTTGTTGCTCATATTCTGGTTATTTCGGCTTGCCTTTAAATTTTGTTTATTTGCTTTTAGAACTATACCATTCCCTTCTGTGGTGTCCATATACCAAATGTGGACACCACAGAAAACACATGACACAGATTCTCATTCATGCCACTTTACCTAAAACATAGAAATGGTTCTGTATAAAGTGGCATGTTAATAATTACCATGTGTTTTGTAAATTTTGAAAACAACTATATACTAAAACAACAATAACTATATATGTATGTATGTATATATATATATATATATTTATTTTTTTTGCTTGTAGAGACATCTATTATACCTGATGAGGGTTCCTCGTTTGCCTTGGCTGTAGAGAGATTTGTAAAATTCTGCAAGCAAGCCAGCCCTTTAAATACAGTTCTTGAACACCAATCCGTTAGGAGATTTCTGAATGCGTTGTCTTCAGCGAAAGGTAAAGTGTTACTGCAGCATACCATTAGCACCAGCAATTTTTGGTTTTCTAACCTTAACAGTTTTGCCTAAGCTCTACTTTACATTATGTTATTGATTATGATTGGTAGATATTTTAAAAATAACCATTTTTTTTTTACTGCATCCAGGTCAATCCATATTTTAATTAATTTCACATTGTATGTTTTAAAATGGAATAAATACCATAATCCAACACACCCTGCTCTTTGAGCTGATCTTCAGAGGTGACTTTCTGCACTGAGAATGTCTTTTATATGGCACTCACATTTCTTGTCCCTTATGGGGCTGGCTAGTGTCCAATCCTCCTCTGGGCGGTAGTATAATCTGACAGTTAATGACTTCCTGTCTCCCTAAATGGACTCCAAGGAAGGGATTTTACAGTGAGTACAAAAAACCTATTTTCTTGCATTTGCAGAACTGTGCATTGCAGTAAAGCCAGATTAGCTGAAAGTTCTGCCCTTACTTCCTGCTGATGCGTAGGGAAATAACAGACTACTACTACAAGTAGTAAGTATTTTTAGGAATACATGGTCGGGTTAAATAGGGGTCTTGCATATCTGCAACAACACTGACACATTTCTCCGCTGATCATCACCAATGCATCAGCAGAGCACATAGCAAAAACGATTGAATGATGTACACGGTACTTTACATTACATTTCCTAGACTACTCCGTTTTAGGAGTTCTGTGATTTTGTATTGGTAGCGATAAACTCCTGCGCTTTTATTAAAGGAGAACTATGAGGTGAGTGCTTTTCACTCACCTCATAGTTCTAGCCAACCTGTGACAATGAGACTGTCACAGGTCGGCTCAGTAGATCGGGAGGTGAGCAAACACATACCGGCGGTCGCTCACCTCTCGATCCTGTCACGGCACTCTGCCGTGACAGGAGAGGGGCTGGATTCCCCGCTCCGATCCGCCAGCGCTGACTGGAGGAACGGACGGGGGAGGGGGCGGCCACAGCTGGCTCTGCCTCTAGATAGGCAGAGCCAGCTGTCACTCACGCAGCTGGGCGGATCTCGACGTCCATGTCGGGATCCGCTCCGGCTGCGGCGTGTCAGTATACTGCGAGATGCAGCTTGCGGTATACTGAGTTTAGGGTAACGGGAGGACGCTAGTTTGTGTCCTCCCGTTACCCTAAGGAGAACTATGGGGAAAAACACTGACCCCATAGTTCTCCTTTAACCCCATAGTTCTCCTTTAAGCAAGGCAGTAAAAATCTTTCCAAGCCATCATTTCCCAGATAACAGGATGCCCCCAATGGGTTCCCCATGCATATGGGCAGCACATGTACCTTTTTAGCGTTCTGTAAGCAGGCAGCCTTTTCATCCAGCAGCAGGCTTTCATAACAGAAAAAGAGAGCTCACATCTAAAAAGTGCATGTGCCCAACTGAGACTAGTTAATGACATCTGGCTAACAGGTAAGATGTTGATCTAGGAGTTGAGATTTTATCCTACTGAAAGCTCTTTGAACCCTCTGAGCTCCAGCACCCATATCTGAGCTTATTAAGATCTGAGAAAACAAAAGGTTTGTTTTCTCCATAACAGAAATAAATCCTGGAGCCCTTCACCATGTGTCAGTGGGAGACCTAGTACACCATCCACATCCCTTCTAGCCAGTACCTTACAATAGTACCTATTATCTATAGGAACATATTCTAAATTTGATTCATAATCATTCTGTAAATATCTTTCAGTGCTGCAGGAGTAGTGCTTGTTATGAAAAGTATGTTCCCCATATGGCTTCCTCTGTGTTTCAGTGCAATAAATCTTGCAAAAAAAAAAATGCAGGTGTCTTGCTGCAGAAACAGAGTGCTAAGTGAGGGATTCAGAACACGTATCGTGTCACTGAAGAGTCAAGTGATTATTTTTCTTTAAACCATATCTCCGAATAGTGCTAGAGGTGAGAAGTAGCTTTCTTTTGGCAGAAAGTCTCTTCTGCAAAAAAACTACGTTGTAGGAGGTTTTTGAAGTTTACTTCTGCTTTAGACTGCAATATATTACATTTTTGTACTTGTGTTCAGACATTCTTTAGGGTTGGGTAACACAAGATCAGTGATACATACTGGTCATATGAAGGTGCTAGGGATCATCCATTTTTTGAACAATGGTATAATAAAGTATGTTTTACGAAAAATAGCAGTGTTCTTGCCTTGTGCCCTATTGATTAAAGTTTGGTGTGTATTTTAATGATCAACTGGTTATGATGGTTTACTGTTTGTTTTCCAGATATTGCATCTGACATAACATGTGACATACCAGATTCCATCACTGAGTCTCTCATCACACAATTAATACAGCAAAAAAGGTGGCAAGAGGTTCTTCTTCTGCTAACTAGAGATGCTAGTGGGGAATCCATTCAAGAAGGATTGATTAAAAGCTGCCATCTTCCTAAAGTTGACATACACCATGTGATCTCTAATCTTGACCCTACAGTGAAGTACCGCCTGCGTCTAGTCAAGTTACTTTTGAAAAGAGGAGGTACATTACATATTTTTCCATCCAACTGGATCTTCATTTATCAGTTTTATTATTTAAATAAGAATGAAATATACTACTTGAATATAAAGTGTCTAAATAGTTGGGCAGTAAAATAGGGTAGTGTGCATTCTGAAACTGGACAAAGTATGGGACTGTCTGTATGAAATTTGTAAGTTCTCTCAGTGTTTGTGTGGGCTTTCTGTGGATGTTCTGATTTACTCAGGCTGTAGGCAAGGTAATTTTGGGAAAGAAAGTGGGCTGGGCACAGAGCTAACTGTTAGGCACTGTAAAAATTAGCAATTGCTTAAAGTCTACCCCAAAAACATTTTTCTACTTGTGGATGAAGTAGGAGTTAGGATTGTGGTCACATTTAGTTGGTGTCTTTGACACTAGTGCGATTCTAACACTGTTCCAGAGATATCAAAATGTGACAGGGTAACAGGAAAACACAGAATAAAAACCTGACAAATGTTCTAACCATTCCCCACTCTAGTAATAAAAAAAGTTTTCTCCATCATCTTTTGAATGACACAGGAATTGAGAAACAGTTGGTTTATTCTGCCAGGAGGTTGGGACACTTGCAAATAGAAAAGTTTTAAGCCAGCCTGTGTATAGCCCCTGCTCTATACCGCTTGCTTCAGTTTTTTCGTTGTTTTCCTAGGAGATTGGATGCCTTTTCTTAAGCTCTTCTAAAAAAAAAAAAAGGTGTGACCCTGCCTCTAAATACTCACTCAGTGGCTAGTTGGTTGGACTGAAGCACCAAGCGCTACCTCACTAACTTGCACCAGTGGGCACATGTGTTTTTAAAATTTGTGCTGCGGTTGGTTCTTACTGCAGTAAAGGTTAAGGGTAAAGGGTTGAGCACTGATATCATCCAATGTGCAGGCATGCCCCACACACTCTTTTTCCTGCTATTCAGCCTGTAGTAAGCACCACCCTGCTGCTGTTCCTGCTCCTGTAGCACCTTGTGGATCCTGGTTTCCAGTTTGGCTCCACTGCCCACCTACAGGGACACAGTCCAACCACCGACAACCCATATCAGTAACAGTTGCCTGTGCATGTGAGTACTTGAGACCTTGCCTCACATTGGGCCTAAATGTTTACTGACTTATGGTACAACATGTCTTCTCAAAGACACACAGGGGACACAGGCCGTTGTCAGCGGTGACCTCAGTCCATACTCTCCTAGTGGTTCTGGGAGCATTAACCTGGAATCCCCAGCTGGAACAGACGCCATTTCAGCTCTGTCAGGCAAGATAAAGGCCTCCCCCATTTCCACAGGGACCTCTAGGTCCACGCTGGACTTTTTAGTTGTTTCTGCCCAGTTACTGGAGCATTTTGTCAACAGTGCCTCTAAACACACTTAGGCGCCATCCCCTGCAGAGTCTCTCTCTAAACCTCTTGAGCCTGTCAATGAAGCCAGGCCTGCAGCCCCTGTTATAATTTCAGATTGAGAGTCCCAACAGCTTGTATCAGGATGTTACGTACCTGGATGAAAACCGAACTGAACAGGGGAAGGCTAACCTTGTCAGTACAGACAATTGAGTGCGTTGACCAGGTTGTGGCAGATGCAGGATCTAGAAGATCCACTGCACATAGTGGAGTGCTGGAACAGGCAACAGATATGAAGTTGGGAACACAGGTCAAGCTCTGTAACGTCCAGACGAAGCGGTTCCAAATCAGTAATCGAGATTAGGGTTGAGGTCACAAGCCGAGGTCATATACAGAGAAGCAGAGGCGAAGCACCAAATCAGTAAATGGGGTCGCTGGTCACAAGCCAGGATAGTCTTTTAGAAAGCAGAGTCTCCGATCAGGTCACGTGGGTTAACAGGAACAAGCTGAAGACCAGTCAGCCATTAGCTGAGGGTCCATGCTAGGACGGCGAGCTTGCCCTACTGTCCCAGGTCTTGGGTCTTTTAGCACTCCGACAGCTGCAAAAACCTTTCCATTTTACCCACTTTTTGAGGCATTCCTCTATGCGGACTGGAAGCACCTTGGAGGGTCCTGGATCCCACCTGGTATGTGTTGCAACATTTTCCCTTTGTGAATTTGCTATTCAGTGGTCTGTGCCCACTGTGGTTGCTCGAAAGATCCATGTTAACAAGAGCTACCACTAAAAGGTTTGAAGGTGTCCTCACCTTTTGGGACTATCATTCAACTTTCAGAGGAACCCCACCCTGCTACTTTATCTGCTTTAGCAGTAAGTGGCGGCGCTATTCAAAATTGTACTAATATTTTTCTAGTGAAATACTGTGCAAAAACATTATATCAATAAATCAATCACCGTGACCACAAAAATACTCAGGTTTCAATAAAATGTTTACAATAAATCAAATCATATATGTGATTGCAGACCACTGTGCAACTTGCATCTCCAGGGCTTCAGTGTAAGAGGTGTTATCCCAGGGCCACAAATTGGAGTTTCACTCCCTACATCCAACTTTCCTATTTCCTGCGTACAAAACTGAGGCATGCTAATAGTAGCATGGGTTATCCTGGGCTATCCTACAGTTTTGTTTTTTGTCTTGTTTTGTTTTGTGTTTGTCTTTAATTTTTTTGGCTGGTGTCCAGCGCTCCTGCAGACAGCCATATAGCCTGAAAGTTAAATACTTCCTGTGTCCCTAAAATGGTGCACAAAATTCATATTTTCTTTCTCGTCTATTGAGGGACACAGTAAGACTTTAACCTTCAGTTAATATGTCCATTCCAACAGGATTGGACACTGGCCAACAAACTGTAAGCCAGCACAGGATGGCCTCTCCTACTACCTAGGAGGATGGAAATGTTTCCTTTAGTTCTGCTGGAAGAGGACTAACCTGGTTTGACTAAAACACATTTTTTCCTCAATCAAGACGATGTTGCTACAGCTGGTCTTAGCAATAGCAGCAATTTTTCACGGCCTATCCTCAGCTTGACCTTTAGTTTATTAAGATTGGACATTGCAAGGTTTGCCTGGAAGTGACATTCAGAGATTGGATTCCGTGTCTGGTAACAGGCTTGCAGACAAACGCTTTCCAGGTCTAGAGCTGCTGGCTTTGTCTTAGTACTTGCACTGTCAGTAAGAACCAACCCACTGAGATGGCCAATCGAGCTGAGCACTGGGAGATGCTTTATTTTTTTGATTGCTGGGCACTTTTAAAATCTCAGCTTCCTGTTGGTTCCTACCACAGAAGGGGTTAACTCTTTGGGATTGAGCACTAATATCTATAGTGTCACGCTCTGATTCTCGCCTTTCACTGTTGATAAAGAGATACTTCTCCTGTATTGCCAAGAACAACATGGAACCACAACATTTGGTCTGTTGCTGTTGTCTGCCTACAGTGACTTGGCCACCCTCCTTGCCTGTTATCACCAGTTGGGTTTCGGGGCTATCTGAAGGCCTTGCCTTGTACCCTGAGCTACATTGCTTTTTTGGCTTGTGATTGCATTATGTCTGATTCTAGACATAGGGGTAATCCCACTGATCCTGGTGCCCCCGGCTCACACTCTACTAGTGGCTTCAGTGATGTTTTGAGCGTTCCTACTGACGTGACTGATATCTGGAGCCTGGAATCATGGCCTCTGCTTCTAATGTCTGTGTCATGCTCAAAGTCAAGCTCGATCAGGCATGGCTAACCCACTGCTTGATCCAAGTAGGTTTTTACTTCAGTCATGGCTCAGATCCTACAGTTGTTTGCTATCCTGCATTTAGCCCTGCTTCGGGCAAGCAGAGCTAAATGTGCAGCGAGGAGCCGATGCACGTTTTATACAAGTGATCTGTTCAGATCACTTGTACCAAGGTTACATAGTCAGGTTGAAAAAAGACACATGTGCATCGAGTTCAACCTATAGAAATATGAAGAAAAAAAAAAAGAAAAGCCTAAACAGAACGCTATGCCCCCATTCACCTACTGTTGATCCAGCCTGATTGTCTGTCCCAATCCCTCCCTGCCGTGGTTTTCTGGGTCCCCCGCTCTTTTGGGAGACCACGGCAAATGAGCTCAGGATGGAGAGCGGGGAGCAGAGCGAAGAACGTCCATTCTCTGCTCTGTGTGATCAGTGAGACCAGAGTGCTGTAATCACAGCGCCGCCTGTCTCAGCTGTCAGATATTGCACATAAGATCTGTTCTGTGTTGGAGGGCAGGTTCCCTAAAGAGAAACTGTTACCTCCAAACTATCACATAGGGGCTTGTAAGCCCATGTGTGATGGGAATAAAATTAAGTGGAAATCAAATCTGTCTCCGTCTCTCAAACCCCGATTACTTGCTTACCTTTTATCAAACAGTCCTTTCCCTCCACCAGTATGGATGTACAATCTGTTCCCCTTACTGCCATCCAGCGAAGCCCTGCGCTATGCGTTTTGGATTTCGCTCGCAAATCGTGAGCACTCGTTGGTCATGGCAAACCTTTTTTTTTTGTATCGGGACAAGTAGATGGTCATGAGGGACAAGTAGATTGGGCCTTCGCTCTTGCCCTTGGGCAAGTATTTTTTTTTATTTCCGCACCCCTGCACTGGCTATAGAAAAGGTAAATATACTCACACTTCTTTTACAGGTGGGCTAATAAGTAAAGGCGCAAAACAGGTTACTCATTGTGTAATTTTTTTTCCCCCCCTCCCATAGTTTCTCCCAATGGTATTGGAGCCATGCATGAACATCCAATTTGCACTTGTTTAAAGCGAAGTGATTTTGCCATGGCATATTTGTTGTTGTGCAATGGCGGAGATCCAGAGAGTGTTTGCATAGCTAAAGAAGACAACCCTTTGCACACTGCAGTTTCCATTGCTTTGAATAACAAAGGTCTGTATCTTCATTTAAACCTGCTGTCTTTTCACTTAACATGGGCTTGTAATACTTTTTTGGTTTCATAGGAAAATAAAGCAAATATTTTATTTGCAGAGTGACAATCATGAAATTTAGGCAAATGTTAAACATTTTGTCCTTTTTCTATCTAGTTATGGATTAAACATCATATATGTATTTGAATTTTAGATTGGGTTATTTTTATATATATATATATATATACACACACTGTATATTATATATATAATTTCTTTCTTACTGCTATTGCTAGAAGAATCTTCCATATGCAGTTATGTTGAATAAAAATCAATCCCCTCTGGATGATCAGTGTACGTTGCATGACTTTTAAAGAAGAACTCCAGGATTTTTAAAAATGAAAGTTTATTTTTAATTTTTTTAAAGTAAAGTTTACCTTTATACATTGTACTTGTCCAACTGATGGGTGTTTCCTTGGTAGCTGATTTGACAAGGAAAGGAACAGCACACTGCTGATGACATCTCTGTGCTATACCCACCTGTAAGCCAGGCTCCAGTGTTAGTCAAAACAATGTGTTAATCATTAGTGTTGTGTGGCCTACAAATTCTTGGAAACTAATATAAGGACAGATTTAATGTACTTAAAGCTGCAGAATTTAAAATTGTGTCATTAATGAATACACATGTAAGCTTAGACTGCATATATTGACATTATATAGATGTTACAATATAATAGTGAGCATACAAAGCCAAAAGTGTAAGGCAAGTGTTCTTAAAAGCCATATATTACTTAATGTGGTTTGTTGATGACTACAACCATTGTGCTGTCCCTTTGTTTAGTTCTGGCCTATTAGGAACTAGTCTGTGCATTTCTTTTTCCATTTAGTTACCTTGGAAGAAGTTAAAGCAAACCCACTGGTCTACATTTATTTATCTGCTTTCCTCCAAGGGGAAACAAAATTGTATATTTAATTTTATGCTTAAAGTAGCAGCATTGTTTTGCTCTTAATTTTAGTTTGCAAATTTAAAATTGTAGTTTGTATTTCCTTCACAATGATATATTTTGTAATATGTTTTATGGAATTACACAATTTAATCAATTAACCGGTGTAGTCAGTAAGACTTGATTCATGTGGACTTGCATCCGGCTCCTGCATTGCTGAAGCATTCCGACTGCTATGTAAGGGAGTGGGGAACAGGGAGCAACACTGCACTTGTAGTTGTCACCAGCTAAGCTTCTCCATTTATAGTCTGTGTTAAAGCAGTCATAACTATTTATTATTTTGTGTGATGCTGAAATCTAATCATTTATTGAAACAATTTTACTTATTAGTTGTATTTATTAATTGACTTTTTAAAATTGTAAATGTTGTACATTTTTAAAATTAAGTGGTTGCCAAATGTTTTAGTTTATTTTTGCACTTAATACATTTTTGATTCATTTTAATAAAATTATCCTGGTTTCCTCTTCAGATGATGATGGCATTCTGATGGTAAAATATCTTCTGGATTTGTATTCTTCTGACCCTGCAAAATATCAATACTTAGACCCCAACATCCAGGACAAAGATGGTAATACAGTGATGCATAAAGTTTTTCAAAACAACAATCCCAAACAATATCGCAAAATTATGGAGTTGCTTGCAAAATTTGACATCAAGCTAACAGTAAACAATAGGCTGGGTAGAGATGCAAAATACAAGATAAAGAATATAGATCAACGTTTTGTTGTTTGGAATGAAGTTAGAAAGAAATCTAAGCAACCAAATGCTGTTCCAAAGTCTGGCAAGGCCAATGGAAATAATACTCAAGCTAAGATGCAGGCAAAGCCATCATCCTTCACTTCCTTGCCACGTGAGTCTGCGTCTGATGAATCTGTAATGAAGAACCAGTGTGCATCATCTGAACACATTGAACTCCCAGCAGAATTTATTGAAAACACAAAAAACCCTATGACCCCAAAAGAACAACTTGTGCAAACTATCAGAAAACTGATAATATGTCTGGATCTGAGCAAAGCACAATCTTTGTTTGACACTTTGAAGCGATGTGCAGCTGAACATGCCCCAGAGATTAAGAACACTGAGCTAACCGTGGCTGTTGTAGGCAGTTGCAGAGAAGCCGAGTTATTGGATGATGGCGCTTCCAGGGAGATGAGCGAGGACACTGAGAATAAAATTACTAAACTTGACAATAATGGAGAAGAATGGAATGGAGAACAACTGCAAGATAATATTGACCTTTCTAATGTAGACTTCAGCACCATGACATGGGAGATTGAGTGCTCTCCAGAAGCCTTGAAAAAATTAGGCAGCAAAGCTGTACCCCTATACATGAAAAATAAAATAATAATTTCTATTCAAAAACTCGGAAATGGGGAATGGACACGAGGTCTGAATAAACAATTGAAACTGAACAACAATATCAAGTTGTTTGAAGTAAAGTTGGACAAAGGTGGTAGGATGCTCTGGGAACTTGCTGTTGATTTTTCCCCTCGTTGTAGCGAGGACCCAGAAAAAATTATGGCCACAGAATTGGTGCCACAAAAAAGTGGTAGGGTTTACACTGAAATCATAAGGATCTGGGACATTGTTCTTGATCATTGCAAGCTTAATCATGCGATAGAAAACATATGTGGTGCTTATAACAGAGGAATGTCCTGTATTTTGAGGAAAAAATTAAAGGGAATAACCAAAGATCAGATTTTCCCAAATACAAAAAAGCGTATTCCTAAGTACTTTGTGGAAGACACCGAAGTGGAAAGCAACATCGAACACATTCCTGATTATTTTCCACCGGCAGGTGCAATGGAGACAGAATACAACATTATGAAATTCCATAGCTTTAGCACAGATATGGCTCTCAATATACTTTCCAATATGAATTCAAGAGTTGAGTATCCATTCCGTGTTGGCGAGCTGGAATATGCTGTGATTGATCTTAACCCTAAACCAATGGAAGCAATCATATTAATTGGAAGAAGTGGCACAGGAAAAACAACCTGTTGCTTGTACCGCCTCTGGAAAAAGTTTCATTCCTACTGGGAACGAGCAGAGTCAGTTGGTGGCCCTTGGCTAGCGAAACAGACTTGGCAAAGAAGAAAGTATAATGAAAACACTGAAGATGACATTTTGGAAGATGAGGACACTGAACAAGAATTGTCTGATAGCACTGATGAAGAACAAGCATCAGAAGAGCTGGAGAATTTGGAATCAGAAGTCACATCATCAGATAATGAGGAAGACACAAAATTAGAACATTACCACCCTATATTTGTCACAAAAAACCATGTTCTTTGTCAGGAAGTACAAAGAAATTTTCTGGAGTTGAGCAAATCTGCAAAGGCAACAAGTAATTTCAAGCCCATTGAGCCTAATGTTTACAAATTGCAAGATATCAAGGATGAAAACTTCCCATTGTTCATCACTTCCCAGCAGCTGCTTCTGCTGTTGGATGCATCTATGCCTGATCCATTATTTCCAAGAAATGAAGATGGGAGTCTCAAAAAGAGTATTGTTGGTTGGTCTGCAATGAATGACACTGATATTCTAGATTTGTTGAGAGATGATGATGAAAGTGAGCCTGATCCTGAAGATGCAGAAGAAGAAAAGGAGTGTGAGCCAAAAGAGAACGATCCTCGCATTTTTGTTACTTTTGAACTGTTTGCCAAGAAACTATGGCCGAATATGATCAAGGGAAAGTCTTCTTACAATGCTGCTCTTGTTTGGAAAGAGATTAAGTCATTTTTAAAGGGCTCATTTGAAGCATTAAGCTGTCTTCAGGGTCGCCTTTCAGAAGAGGAGTACATTAAACTCGGGAAAAAAAGAGCCCCAAACTTTCAAGGAGACCGCAGGGAAATATACCGCCTCTTTTGCTTGTATGAGCAAACAAAAAATAGTCAGGGATATTTTGATGAAGAGGATGTCTTGTACAATTTGTCTTGCAGATTGTCAAAGCTGGAAGAGCTACCATGGTCTATCCATGAACTTTATGGAGATGAGATTCAAGACTTTACCCAGGCTGAGCTTTTCCTGCTTATGAGATGCATCAATGATCCCAATTACATGTTCCTTACTGGTGACACAGCACAGAGCATAATGAAAGGGGTTTCTTTTCGCTTTAGTGACCTGAGATCCTTATTTTATTATGCAAATAAGAAGTGCTCGGATGACAAGAAAAAATGCATTGTTCGTAGGCCAAAACAGTTGTATCATCTCTATCAGAATTATAGATCTCATTCTGGTAAGTGTGTTTGTGATTATAGCTCGTCTCTTTTCCTTTACTCTATCATTTGCATGATTTTCTCAGTATATATTATTTTAAAAATATAATTTTCCAATTACTACATAATACTTATTTTCCCCTGATATCCATATTGCTCTACTTGCTAATGTTTAATAGATAAGGTCACTGTAAATTTAGTTTTGAATGGAATTAATTGTGTTTATACACCTGTATCTCTTTTAAATATTTCTGGTCCCCGATATTTACGTACATTATAAACAGGTCTTGGTTAGCCAGGATTCCCTTGATGGAGCTGTTGGAAAATTGAGCCTATAAACCAGACAAATATTAGCAGAGGGTGTCTGTACAAAATAGCTACCATTTTAAAAGTATTTATGCTGTTTAAGGTGTGTGTGTGTATATAAAATGTATTTTTGGCTCCAGCTTGTTTTCACTAAGAAGTAATGAATGGAGTCATCCATCCATTACTTCCTAGTGAAAACAAGTTGCCCTCCCCCGCCTCTGATGTAAGAGGAAGGGTAGTGCTTGGCATTGTTGACATTGCCATGTGAATGCTCTGATAACCAATCATAGTGATTACAGGACACCGAGCCTGTCTGATCGGCTCTGTGTCTAAAGCCATGACTCTCCAATGTCTAATGACAGGGGCAGTATTGGCCTTGTGCAAACAAGTGTTCAGGGGAGAATGTACGGGTATGTCCTCCTGCAATAATGGGGCTGCAGACTGCCTGTATTTATACAGTGGCCGGTCCACAAGTGGTTGACCATAGAAGTTAAGTTTGTTATCAAACAAATCCTCATTTAACCTAGTATATAGTATAGAAAGTATAGCATAGAAAAAGGGCCAAAGCTAAAATAGTTCAAATGTGACTTACATTTATGTTCTCCACACAGGCATTCTCAGCCTGGCTTCTGGTGTGGTGGACCTGTTGCAGCATTTTTTTCCTGAATCGTTTGATCGACTTCCTCGTGATTGTGGATTGTTCGATGGCCCAAAGCCCACGGTGCTTGAGTCCTGCTCAGTTAGTGACTTGGCAATATTACTACGTGGGAATAAGAGGAAGACACAGCCAATTGAATTTGGAGCTCACCAGGTGTGTTTTTATAATAAAGGAAAATATATTAATGTTAAACATTACAATTTCGCTGTTAGTCTAAGTTCACACAGGTATTGAAAGTAAAGTAAATGATGAACGCTAAATAACGAGCCTCTGGCGTTAACACAATCTTCAGACTTGTTCAAGCCAAAACTCTCTACCTTTTTGATTTATTTTCCCAATTAAACAGTGTAGAGGAAGTAACCAGCTTTAAGGCATTGTTAGATTGTAGTGTGATAGCTTTTTTTGTGTGATTCCAGTGGTTCTTTTTGCTCCATTTTTAAAGATCCAGTTGTGTTTATCATGGATGTCTACACTGTCATCTCTCTGATGCTCAGCGTGGTGGAGCTGAAGATGATTTGGGCTTGAACTGCCCAGCAGAAAAAGAAAGAGGGTATTGTGATGGTAATGGGTGCATCCAATAGTCTGGCAGAGATTTTCCAAGGGGCACCTGTGTCTTTCCACTAGAGTCTTGTAAACTCTCTCCAAACACACCGTAAAGACTATAAGCACGTTTAAGGCATGCTTCAGTTGACTTGAATAGAGGGTGACAAGTGGCACTGCCTGCCAAACGTGACATGCAAGATTCATTTTGACACACCACGACGTGAATCAATGAAAACTCAAAAACTCAGCCAGATTCGGCACACACCACGGGTGTCCCGATCCTCCACACTGGCCGTCCATCCTCTGGTCCCAAGATCTACATGTAAGTGCTTATACAGTTATCCTTCTACCACGGTCTGCCAAGTCAGCTAGTGCTTTATTGCCTTTGCAACCTTTGTGTCCCTTTGTTGTTAAATACCTTTAAACCAATTGTTTTGACTTTAAAGGAGCAGACACAAAAAAAATCACAAAAAAATGTATCTAAAATACGTAAAACTGAACATTAAAAAGAATAAGTTATTAAAAATTGAAATACAATTTATAATGGAAAATGTATATGATCCACCTTTCCTAAGCTTTTTTCCTACACTGTTTCAATATGCGGCAGATGGTTGAATAATGTAACATATAACATATCGACAATAGTCATGTCAAATTATCAATTAATAGGTATATATATATTGTGTAAGGCAGCAGTCTAGGAAATAACTTAGGAACGGCAGATCATATTCATTTGCTATTGTACACTGTATGATTGTAATGACTTTCTTGTTTTGCATTGCCTGGTTTTATGTATTTTTAATAAAAATTATTTTAATAATTTTTTGAGTCTGGTACCTAAAAGGTTTGAAAAATTGCTTTAAAGTGCAACTGAAGCTTAAACTTTTGTGTTTGGATTTGGATAGATTGGAGAAGAATTAGAAGACCAGTCTCGTCTTTATTGCAGCCTGTGTCCCCGTTATAGAGATTTTCCCTCTCGATTTGTCCTGGTTACCGTTACCAGTAAAAGTGAAAGGAAATGCAAAATTTTTGATTGTCATGAGAACAGCAATAGATAGGAAATCTTCCAATTGGTTCTGGTTACCCTGCTAACCACAAGAGATTTCTCTTTCTTTGGAGGGGTTTCCTCTGTCTTTTTGTTGTGGCTATTGGACAGGAAGTGAAGGAAAATCTCCCCAATGGGACACAGATGGCAAAGTTAGCAGGGGTTATAACCATCCCTTACTCCAGTGGTTCTCAACCTGTGTAACCTCGGGACCCACATGTTTCCTTGGTCATTAAGGCGTGACCCAAAAATGATTTCATTTCTGAAACATTTTAATTTATTACACAAAACAACTTGTGCAGTATTCAGCAATATATATTTTGCTGAAAGTAAATGAATTAAAAAAAATTAAAAAGTTTATAAAGAATAAAAATTAAATATTTTAAAAAATTAAAATAAAAACGTGTGGGGGTGGCGGTTGCGGGGTACAGTTCCATGACCCACTGCAGAGGGTGTCGCGACCCACTTTTGGGTCGCGACCCACGAGTTGAGAACCACTGCCTTACTCTATCCAAAATTAAAGATTTTAGTAGAAGTGAATCAAAAAGCATACAATTTTCATGTTATACAGTACATAAAACAGAGCCATTAAGGCCAAATGCTCACGTAAGGGGGCTACATTTTGTTTGCAGTGAAATCATTCTAGTACTGAGCATTGTAAGATACACAAATACATAATTATAATTATGTGTCCTGTGACGTTGATTTATATTTGCAGGTTATTTTGGTGACCAATGAAATTTCTAAGGAAAATATTCCAGAGGAGTTAAGTCTTGCTTTGGTCCTGACAATTTATGAAGCAAAAGGATTGGAATTTGATGATGTTCTCCTGTATAACTTCTTTACTGACTCAGAGGTACCTCCTGTGTATATATAGAGAAAGAATTAATATGTAATAGCACTCAGTTTTATCATAATTAGTGTTGCCTATTTCATAATGGGAATGTTTGCAGAACAGAGCAGAAGCGTGGGGTATAGTAGCATGGGGCATAGGTCATGAGGTGGGCGTGAGGGAGGCTCTTTTATTGGGGAAGAGCAGTGGCTGATGTGGTTTGAGGCGGGACAGCAGGGCGGTATATGGGGAGTGGGTGAACAGAATCATAGAAATCGAGGGTTAGGATCAGGGGACATCAATTAAAGATAGGGTTGTTAGTAATTTTATGTGTTACGTGTAGGGATGCACCGATACTAGTATCGGTATCAGTGCCGATACCGAGTATTTGGGTGAGTTCTCGTACTCGCCCCAAATGCTCCGATACCTAGCACGAGTACTTCATGTATCAGGAAGCCGGGCAGCGAATCATTACACGCTGCCCGGTTTCCTGATTGGCCAGGAAACGGCTCCATGCTCTCTCGTCACTTGTGATGAGAGAGCATGGAGCCGACTTCCCGGTCAATCAGGAAGCCGGGTAGCGTGCAATGACGCGCTGCATGGCTTCACGATTGGTCAGGAAGCTAGCAAATCCGGAAGCCGGGCGCCATGTAATGACGCAGCGCCCGGCATTCTGATTGGCCGGGAAGCCGGCGTCATGCTCCCTCGTCATCTCATGAATCATAATATTAAGAAAGTGACCTTAAAGCATTAGTTTGTATTGCTTTAGAAAAAATGTGACCTGTCCCTTTAAGAAAAAGTATCGGTAATTGGTATCTGCGAGTACTTGACCAAAAGTATCGGTACTCGTGCTCGGTCTTAAAAAAGTGGTATCGGTGCATCCCTAGTTACGTGTGTAGTTTCTGTTCCACCAGTAGCAAGATGGAAGTTGGAAATGTTCATATACTGTATATTTAAAGCAGAGCTCTGGGCAAAAGTGTTCTTACCCCTTGCTGAGGTGCTACCTCTGCACTGCAACAGTTAGGCGCTCGTTTTTGTTTAGGTGCTTAAAAAAAAAAAAAAGTTATATTTACCTGAACCGTGGAGCTAGCTGGCTGTTACTCCAGTCCCTGAACCCTGTCTCCTCCTTCCTCCCTGGTCCCTGTGCGTCCTCACATCCTATACACTGTGTATAGAACATGATGACTCAGGAATCCTCATACCACTGCAGCTGGGGGAAAGAGGTTCTAGTGACTAAGAGCAAGCTGGCTCTGAGGATCGGGAGAGTATAACTTTTTAAAGATGCTAGACAAAAATGATCACTTAACTCTTGCCGTGCGGTAGTGGCCCCACTGCAAATGTTAAGAATGCTTTAGCCTGAAGTTCTGTGTTAAGGCTTTAGAAACGGTATGTTCTTTTAGAAACTGTATGTTCTATAGCAGTCAATGGTTTCATCAGCATAACAATTGTATGAATTGTAGTGTACGGGTATAAGAAATATATTAATAGTAGCACTATAGTAACCAATACCAAAAATGTCACATGTAAAAACCATTTAGATGTATAATTATGGTTCTTTATAATTATTTGGTACTACTATATAGCTTTAAACTGTAATGTTTTATGTTTTGGCTAATGTTACTTTTAGGCTTCTAAAGAGTGGAGAATAATCTCCTCTTTCAATCCAGTCATCTCTACAAATCAAAAGAGCCAGCCACTTATTGAAGTTCCATTGGAAGATGCTTGCAGTCATTCCAGTAGACCATTCATAATGGATCCAGAAATGCACAAGGTACCATGTAAAAACAGGTATACATGTATATACATGGTGAATTATACTAGGTGAGATGTAAGGGCAGAAGCTTGAAAGGCTGCATATTCAACTTAATACCCGGTGAGGTTTAAGGACAGAACATTACAGAATATCTGTTTCAAGTGTAACTGCACCTTTCCACGTTTGGTCCCTGTTCACCCCTAGGCAAAGCTAAGTGCGATAAAACGCTCAAGACAAAGGAATACCATTCCTTTTTATGGCCCCGTTCACATCTGAGCGGTTTGTTGTACAAATATTTATCTCCCGTTCATTGAAGGACACAGGGCAACAGATCGTAGATCCTGAATGGTAGGGTATATCGCCACCTGCAGGAGAAGGACGCTAGGCACATAACAAAAGATAAAGACAGCCTAGGGGCGGCCCCTGCTGGTGGCCAAACCCCCCACTTGCTGACAAGTCTCCAGTTTTTTGCCTAGCGTCAGGAGTAAGGAGCTAAAAAAATTTCTCTGGAATTTTTTTGCATTTTCCTCCTTTTTGTTTGCTGTTTTCTTCAAGCAAGTGTCGCCAGGGCGACATGCTGGATGAATGTAGATCCTTGGAGTCTCCCCTGTGCGACCGACTAGCGCATGCAGTCCCGCCACGGTGGGTCGGCTGCGACGATGGTTCTTTTCGACGCCTGTGGGTCTCTTGGCCCGGTGGGGTGCACATGACTGGGGGTCTCGACCTGCCAGTCACAGTACCCCATGCAGGCTGGCGGCACCGCGACTACGGTCGGGGGCGTTTTTTTGCCATCCCCGCACGCCTGGCTGCCATGTGGGTTCCCAGGAGTCGTCGCCCCTCTGGATGGCGGTGGTTCGCGTTCCGGCGGTTTCCCCCCTGGATGCGGTATGTATGTGCGGGTCTGTCTGCGGCTGTGCGGAGGGTCTCTTGGAAGCTACCTGTCTGGAGGTCGTAAGTACGCTCTGTCGGGCTGCCTGGATGTAGGTAGCTGTGGGCTCTGGCGAGGTGTTCTGTTGGGGACCAAGGTTCCCTCACGTGCCTCGGCCCCCCTCCCTTTTCCTCCATGCTGAGCAGCCTGTCGAGGCTGGTGTGCCTGGTCTTGCAGTATTGGTTAACCTGGCCTGGGGACACAGATGGTCCTGGAGGGGTGCCTGGGAGTAGCTGCTGCAGGGGTTGCTGTCGCCCATTCGGGGCAGCTGAAAATCGAGGTCCTGGTTTCTGTTGCGGCCTAGCTGGCTGCCGCGGACGCATGTACGTTCCGTTTTTTCGGGGCGGCCGAAAATCGAGGCCCCGGCTTCTATTGCGGCCTAGCTGGCTGCTGCGGCCGCATGTCATTCCATCTTCGGTGCCCGTTCGGGGCGGCCGCAAAAATCGAGGCACCGGCTTCTACTCCGGCCTAGTCCGGATGCCGCGGCCGCCATCTTGGTTGAGGGCGGCTTGCCCTTCCCGCGTGACGTCACTTCCGGTCCGCGGGTGGATGAGCTGGATGCAGATCTGACTGCTGGAGAGCTCATGCTGGGGGACAATACATCTCCCTTTGTTGGGACAGTGCACACCGGGGCCAGGGGTCGTAAGTACTGGGGTCCCTTGCTCCCTACTGTGCTCTCTGTGTGTTGGGGCATTTATTATCTGTGGGCGGTGTCCATGGACGCGGGGACAATCCCTCGGCGGTCCCTTACTCGGTTCCGCTGGTGGCACGACGCGTCCGGTGTCTTGGCTGCACCACGACCTTCCGTTGTTTTTCCAGGGTGTAACTTCTGTTCCTGGTGCCAGCCGACTGCGGGCTGGCTATTAATGGGGCTACGGGCTTCCGCCAGCGGATACTTCCTGTTCCCTTGGTGCGGCCTGTGCGTGCACCACTTACTGGTCGCCTTTGCTCCATTCGGGGTCTTGGGTGGCTGGTCTGCCCTGTGGGTGCTGCGGTACCCTTGCAGGGTCCTTTATCATCTGCTGGGGCTGAATTTTTGGTGTCGCTTTTGGGCGCTCGTTGACGTAGGGCTCTCGGCTGCGCACGCTCTGCCGTCTCCTTCCCCTGTTCCTTCCGTGGAGTCGGGGGAGGAGGGTTCCGTCCCTGCGACTTCAGCCCATCCTGCCCAGGGGGTTGCTACCCCTCTAGATCCTGGTGGTGAGGGTGGGTCGGGCGCCTCCCTTTTCATCGGGAGCGTGCCTCGGTCTCTGCCCTCATTCGTTCCGTCAGGGTGATGCCTACCATTGTGGAGGCCCCGAGTCTTCTACGCTTCCTCCGGTTCAGTTTGGGGCGTATGCTGAGGGATGTCAGGTCTTCCCGTACTGAGGGATCGCAGGTCTTCCCGTACACTCCCTGCTTGACCCGTTGTCCTTTGGTCTCCGTGGCTTCCGTTCTACCAGGGCGGTCTTCCCCTCCCCTTAGGACCCCGCCGATCGGAGGCGGTTTTGCGGACCATGTACTCCATTTCGGGTGCCTCTCTGCGTCCGGGCCTGGCTTCTGCCTTGGCCTCTCCGACTTGACGGAGCGGGCGCAGGTGTTGCATCAGGGATTAGCGGTGACGGGCGTTTTCCCGCTTAGGTAGGGTTGTAGGAACAGTGGGTGCAGGACCTTAGGTGTGTCTGCAACTCTGCCCTAGTCACGGTGGGGTCGACGCTGTCGGAGGTTCCGCTTCACTTGGTTGGCGTGCTGGTCGGCTGCTCTGGCTTCCATGTATGCTCTGTCAGGGATTTCCCTTCCCGGGGATCGCTTGGCACCATCTTAGATGAGCTCATTTACGAATTTGGCTGGGGGTATGTGTACCCTTTTTTACCTCGGCCGCGGAAGGAGGAACTTCGTCGGCAGCCTGGTCCCACCTTCTCCGCTCACTAATGGCTTGTCGGCCTCCCTGCCCTCAGAAGGGCGGTATGCTTTCCAACCTTCCTCCTTCCCGGCCTGCCGAACGTTCCTGGCAGCTTAGGCCTGCCAAGCCACCGTGCGCATAGAGGCCTGGCCCCACCACTGGACTCCAGGGTGGGGGGGCGTCTTCGACTCTATGCGGATTCTTGGTTGGCTCGTGTCTCCGACACTTGGGTCTGGGAGCTGGGTTCTTCGGGCTAGAAGATCGGATTTCTGTCCCGTCCAGGGAACAGGTTTTTCCCGTCCAACACACGGCTTTCCTCTCGTCGCTTGGCGGACCTCCACCACGCTGTGGCGGACCTCTTGTCCCAGGGGGTGCTCGTGCCGGCTCCGGCCTTGGTAAGGTTCAAGGGGTGTTAATCCAAACCTGTTTACCGTGCCCAAGAAAGAGGGGGTTCGGCCCATCCTGGGCCTCAAACGTTTGAACACTTTTGTGCGGGTCCGTCTGTTTCGGATGGAGTCGATCAGGTCCGTAGGGGCGTGTCTCCATCAAGGGGATCTGCTGGCCTCCATCGTCGTCAAGGATGCCTACCTTCAGGTGTCCATTTGTGTGTCTCACCAGCGATATCTTCGTCTCGAGGTGAGGGAAGAACACTTCCAGTGTGTGGCGCTACCTTTTCGGCCTTGCGTCGGCCCCACGGGTGTTCTACAAGGCGTTAGCCCATGGTTCTGGCGCTGTTGCGTTACCGGTGCATCTCGATCGTGGGGTATCTGGACGATCTTCTGCGGGCAGTGTCGCACTCTTCTCTGGGGATCACTGTGCGGTCCTTGGGGGAGTACGGATGGATCCTGAACTTCCCGCAGTCTTGTCTGGTGCCTTCCCCCATGACGAGTACCTGGGCCTGGTTCTGGACTCCGTTGTGGCCTGAGTTTTTCTTCCTCAGGACTAGCTCCTGAAACTCTGTTCCAGCGTGCGTCTGTTGCACTCGCTGATGGTCATCTTTTCACTTTTGCATGCAGGTCCTGGGCCTCCTGGTGGCCTCCTTCGAGGCGGGGCCCCTTGCACCGCACCATGCCAGGACTCTTCGGAGGGACGTCCTGTTGCGGTGGGACGTGTCCCCCTTGTCCCTGAACACCTAGAATAATGAACACTCCTTCATTGGGCGAACCCGCCTTCGGGGTCTGTCGGTTCTGGTCCAGTCGGACTACGCCACCACAGTGGCGTACATCAACCACCAGGGCGGCTCCGAAAGCGTGGCCGCGGGTCGAGGGGTGTCCGGAATCCTCTCCTGGGCGGAGAGTCAGGTTCTGGCCCTCTCGGCGGTTTACATTCTGGGGGTGGACAATTGGCAGGTCGGCTGCCTCAGTCGCCTGTCGGTGGACCCGGGAGTATGGTCCCTACACCCAGACATTTTTCATCAGCTTTGTCTTCACTGGGGGTCGCCGGATGTGGACCTTCTGGCGTCTCGACGCAACTGGAAGGTAGAGAGATCGTAGCCCGGCTCTGGATGCCCTAGTGGCTCCCTGGAAGCCTTATGCTCTGATTTATGCCTTTCCTCCACTGTACCTGTTGACTCGGCTTCTGCGACGGATTGCGGCTGAACACGTCACCGTCATCCTCGTGGCCCCAGTTTGGCCTCGGAGAGCGTGGTACTCGCCTTTGGCGCCGTGGGATCTGAAGCTGGTGCTTTCGGTGTTGCAGGAATCTCCTATTGAGCCTCTATGGGAGATTCCGCTTCTGTCCTTGTCACAAGGTGGCCTTTTTGGTTGCCATCACTTCAGTTCGACGGGTGTCTGAGTTGGCTGCCTTGTCCTGCAAGTCGCCGTTGCTGGTTCTTCATAGGGACAAGGCGGTTCTCCGTCCTAAGCCGGCCTTCCTGCCTTAGGTTGTGTCAGCGTTCCATCTGAATGAGGACTTTGTCTTGCCTTCTCCGTGCCAGGAACCGGTTCATGGGAAGGAAAGAGCGCTGCACTGTTTGGATGTGGTTCGCGCTCTTCGGTTTTATTTGAAAGCTACGGCTTCTTTCCGTAAGTCAGATTCCTTGTTAGTGCTCACGGAGGGCCCTCGTAAGGTGGATTCGTATTGTTGTTGTTTAGGCGTACGCCGTTAAGGGGAGTGAGCCTCCTTTCCCTGTCAGTGCCCATTCTATTTGGGCTGTTGGGGCTTCCTGGGCCTTCTGTCATGGGACCTCTGTTTCTCAGGTTTGTGGGGCCGCTTTGTGGTCTTCTGTCCACACCTTTTGTTGAAGTTTCACAAGGTGGATGTTTTAGCATTGGCGGATGCTGGTTTGGGGAGCAAAGTGTTGCAGGCGGCTCTTTGAGGGGTCCTTTGGGTGTTTGGTTGTTGTTGCCCATCCCTCACTGTGTCCTTCAATGAACGGGAGAGAAAATATGTTTTTTGTATTCACCGTAAAATCCTTTTCTCTCCGTTCATTGAAGGACACAGGTCCCGCCCTCTTTTATGGGGTGTACACTCCTAACTGCTTGTTACTTACTGGAGACTTGTCAGCAAGTGGGGGGTTTGGCCACCAGCAGGGGCCACCCCTAGGCTGTCTTTGTCTTTTGTTATGTGCCTAGCGTCCTTCTCCTGCAGGTGGCGATATACCCTACCATTCAGGATCTACGATCTGTTGCCCTGTGTCCTTCAATGAACGGAGAGAAAAGGATATTACGGTGAGTACAAAAATCCTATTTTTTATTGAAAAGGTATAATTGTAAATGACATCCAAAGAAAGGACATATAGGTTCATATGGTAAAACATCAGAATGGTTCTAAAGCAAGAGAAAGACCCATGGCAGGTCATCTACAGGGTAGCAAGCAGAAAAAAAAACTGGCATAGGCATAAAATTAGAATATAATCAAATTATCTCAAGACCTGAAGTAGTGTCACCAGCGTCCCGCTGCTGCCGCAGGACACCAGCGAGCCCATACAGGAAAAGAGGAAAGAGCTCCAGACTACATACTGTGCAGGCAATCCATGGCCACGGGCTTTAAGCTTTAGAGAAAACCACAAGAACCTAAAAAAGAGTTAAGAAAGGGAAGGAAAAAAGTGAGAGAGACAAACAAAGGGAGAGACAGGCTGCAAGGGAATCAAGGGGGACCACAGCACTCTGAGAGAGCAAATTCCGGTCAGACACATCTGAGCAGTTTGATGCAAGCAGAAAAACACCTGAATGCTATAGAAGTACCTGAGCTACATTTTGGCAGATTACAGCGCTTTTTGGTCACATAGACTTCAATAAGAAAATTTGTGCAACAAAAAGTGCAAAATAACTTGAAATGCATGTACTTTTTCCAGTGACAGGTGTTTTCTGTTTGCGACAAAATGCTCAGGTGTGAACTGGGCCATAGAAATGAATGGAATTCCTTGTCTTCAATGTTTGTCATCTTTGAGGGACAAAACACCTAGGTGTGAACAGGAGCTTAGACTCACCTTGTCAGCACTGCACAACAGCTTGTCAAGATCTTCGTGGCCAGACCTGTGCATGTGCTCTGAACGTACAGTCAACCTTTATGGAGAGTTATTCCAGAGCTCTCCAGAGAACTAATTGAGGAATGCCTGGACCCAGTCCTGAAGATTCTGATAAGTGGCTGTGTGGTGCATATGTCTCTAAGCACATGTTTCCGTCAATCAATTCCTAACAGTTTTACATTATTGACACAATGTTCATTTTATTGTCAAATTGTGTCTAAATGTGTGTACTTGGATTTAAATTTATTTTCTATTGTAGACATTCCAACAAATTACATTTTAGTTTGTGGAAATATAAGTTAAATCATTCTTTTACCTAAGCTCTATAGTAGTTAATATTCTGCTAATGCGGTATATTCTATAGATCCTAAATGGGGAACTGAAACAGTTATATACAGCCATCACAAGAGCCCGAGTAAACCTATGGATCTTTGATGAAAATTTGGAGAAGCGGGCACCAGCTTTTGACTACTTTTTGAAAAGTAATTTGGTCAGCGTTGTCCGAACTGATAAAAACAAAGGTAAACTGACACAGGTTTTGTCAAGCCATGTGCTCTATATATATTTTTAAAAAACATTTAACAGTAGTCTCTGCTAGGATCTGTTAGCTACAAACGTAGACAAAGAAAGTGTGAAAACAGATGTACTTTTGCTTAGTCTACAAATAATGTATATTTTGAAAGGGGCTAAACAGATTTGTTAGTACCCCTTGAAAAGATTATAAATGGATCAATGTTATATTTTAAACTGTTATTTGTAACTAGTATCACACATGTATTTATTCTTGTAATCAGTCAGTCAGCCTATTAAAATTGGGAAAAGTAGTCACTTTATTTGGTATCATTGCGTGCACCACACTGAACATGGACCAGAGAAAGCAAAGGAGACAGTTGTCTGAAGAGATCAGAAAAAAAACTAGACTAGCATGTGAAAGGTAAAAGATGTAAGACCATCTCCAAGCAGCTTAATGTTCCTGTGACTACAGTTGCATACATTATTAAGGTCCATTAGAGTGTAACAACCTTCCTGGACGTGGCCACGAGGAAAATCTACCCCATATTGAACAGAAACATAGTGCAAATGGTAGACAAAGAGTCATGAAAACTTCCAAAGAGATACAAGCTGAACTGAGCTTGCACATTTCTTTTGTTTGTTGGGTTCCATTATCCCCTGTATCCAGCTGGGTTTGTCTGCAGAGACTTCTCCAGTGTTTTCTCTACGAAGATCAGAGAACCTTATTAGGTTGTTTGCTGGCTTTCTAGCCATTTGGTGTGGATTTTGTTCCAAAATTGCCCATTTCATCTGTGTGTCCGGCCATGTCCTGCCTTAAAAAGGTGACTACTGTAATGGTGGAGAAGTACCCAACCCATAGGCATTGGAATCCTTTTCCAAAAACTCTGTCCTCCCTGGCAGGTCTTGCCCTGCACTTGGTTATGGTTTCACTTTTTCAAACCATGCCTCACTTTAAAAGGTATCCAACCACAGTTGCTGTTGATACTCTTCTCATAGAAAACAGGGAGCAGATGGCGGTGATGTTACATAGTATTTGGGGTTGAATAAAGACATACGTCCATCAAGTCCAACCCATATAGGTCCACGCATCATCTCATTCTTAGGGATACTGGTATCCCTGGATATTACGGTCCCTCAAGAAATTGTCCAAACGTTTCTTGAACAAATCTACACTCTTGGCTGAAATCACTGCCGATGGCAGTGAGTTCCAGACCTTAACCGCTCTTACTGTAAAGAACCCTCTTCGCCCATTGTGCTGGAATTTTTTCTCCACCAACTTTAGGTGGTGGCCTCTAGTCTTTGTAATGGAGTTAATCTCAAACAGTTTGTTGCCAATGTTGCTGTCACCATTGAACATCTTGTACATGAAAATCATATCCCCCCTTAATCTCCTTAATTCCAGCGTAAACATGTTTAAGGTCAGAAGCCTTGTCTCATAGCTCTGGTCCTCCATTCCCCTAATTAGTTTTGTTGCCCTCCGCTGGACTCTCTCCAGTTCAAGGACATCCCTTCTCAGTACCGGCGACCAAAACTGGACCGCGTACTCCAGATGTGGCCGAACCAACGATCTATATAGAGGCACAATTATAGACTTGTCCCTGCAATACATCCCCTTCTTAATACAGGACAAGACCCTGCTAGCTTTGTTTACCGCAGCACGGCACTGCAAGCTACCATTCAGTTTGTGGTCTACAATGACCCCCAAATCTTTTTCTATTTCTGACTTCCCTAGCGGCATACCCATGATTGTATAGCCTATTTGTTTATTTTTATGTCCAAAGTACATTACTTTGCATTTATCGACATTAAACCTCATCTGCCATAGTATTGCCCACGCCCCTATTTTATCCAGGTACTCCTGCAATGTTTTATTGTCACGTTCCGTTTCTAGTACCCTCCCTATTTTTGTATCGTCTGCAAACACGGAAACATGGCTATTTATTCCCTCCCCGATGTCATTAATGAATAGGTTGAACAGTATCGGACCCAGCACAGATCCTTGAGGCACACCGCTCATTACACTAGCCCAGTCCGAAAAGGTGCCATTTACAGATACTCTCTGGACACGTTGCCGTAGCCAGTTCTCTATCCACGAACACACCACCTCATCTATGCCCATAGCCCTCAGCTTGTGAAGTAAGCGCTTGTGTGGTACCGTATCAAATGCCTTTGAGAAATCCAGATATACCACATCTACCGGCTTCCCTCCATCCATATCTCTGCTTACCCCCTCATAAAAAGTTAGCAAGTTAGTCAGGCAGCTGTGATGTCTTACTGGAAGCCTCCTGATTTATTTCATGCATTAAACTTCTGTTGGTACATGTGCATAGGGCACTTTGGTTTATGTGCTGCACCCCTTAACGGTCTTGTAAAAAGCTTTTCATCACCAGGCATTCGAGGGACAGCACCTCTTCAGACTAGCTCTAGATGCTCTCATCATGAATATTACTGGTGGCATGAGCACGCATCTACCCTAGTGAAAGAAGCCCAAGGAGCAAACTGCCAAGTCCTCTCCCTCTCTGATTGCCAAAATGCATCCCTTTTGTTTCTCCACTATCTCACCATTTATGTTGAGGCCCTCCAAGCTTGGCCCCCTAGCCATCCACAAAGTCTGACATTATAAGTATGCCGAATTCTCAGATAAGCCTTCCTAGGCATAAAAGTGTTCCCCCCACATTGGAGGGTGGCAGGATGTATGTTGATCTTTGCAGATTGAACAGTGTAGATTACCAGCACACAAGGGATGAGATAAATCCTAATATTCTTTTATTCAAAGAAGCATGTCACAAGTGTTATAGAGCCAACGTTTCGGAACCACGCAGGGTTCCTTCATCGGGGCAAACATAGTGACAAAGACCCTGCGTGGTTCTGAAACGCTGGCTCTGTAAGGCTTGTGACATGCTTCTTTGAATAAAAGAACATTTGGATTTATCTTATCCCTTGTGTGCTGGTAATCTACACTGTGCAATCTCTCGATCTGCACGTGTTGGTCCTCTTGGGGTATCAATATTATGTAATACTTGGATGACCTCCTTTGAGGCATAAGTAGGCAGGGGCTTTGTCAGACAACATATTTTTGACTGTCCAGATGTTAGAGTTTTGGGTGGATCTTAAACCTTCAGAAATTGTTGCTGGGACTGCCTTATCATTTGGAGTACCTGGGTTTGGTTCTGGACATGTCTAAGGCCAGAGTCTGTCCCTTTCACCTTAACCTGTACATTGTTTTCCTGTCCCTCTGTCCAGCTCCAGTTCATTAACAGGAAATTTTCCTCCATTGTCTGGATGTAGCTGGGGCTGTGCAAGTTTATTTTCTAGCCACTGCTTTCAGAAAGACAGATTACATTTTTTTAATCCAGGATGGGCCCTGGAAGGGTGTCCTGGCTTCTCCTTGTAAATTATTCAGGCTTGGGGTCTAAAGCAGGGCTTCTTAACCTCTTGCCATCCGCCTGTTGTAAAAAAAACGGACGGACGGCACTGCTGCATTGGCGGGTTGCCGTCGCCAGACGGCATTTTTTTCCTGCTTGCGCGCGCCCCCTAGCGGGCATGCACGGGCAGAAAAGACCCGACCAATGCAAACACCCGTTATGGAGACAGTATCCCTTCTTATCAAAGCAAGACTTGTATTCCTCAGCAAAACAGCCAGGGCTTAGCCTGCAAAGACTTACCCCTAGTCCTTTTTTTATACTCCAATGTCTCCTGCCTCATCTCCCATAGGAGTTTCTTGTCAGTAAACATAAGGCGGACCCGTATGTAAAAGAGTTTATTCCGCATGGCCTTTAACCACTTCAAGGTGTTTAGACCCCCTTCCTTGCCAGGCCATTTTTCAGTATTCAGCGCTGCGGTACTTTGACTGACGTTTATTCCGTCATGCAACGCTGTACTGAAATGAATTTTATACCATTTTTTGGGGACAGATAGAGCTTTATTTCGGTGGTATTTAATCACCACTGGGGTTTTTATTTTTTACTATAATTAGGAAAAATTACAGAAAATTTGGGAAAAAAAAAGTTTTTTTTAACATTATGTTAGGAAACATTTATTATTACCCAGTTTTTTGGTCAAATATAAAAGATCAGGTCACGTCGGTTAAATAGACACTAAACATGTCAAGCTTTAAAATTGCGCGCACCCGCGACATCGCAGAAAACGACGGCAACCAAAATTGGCCATAGGCGACACTTTAAACGTTTTTACCGCTCATCAGTTTAGTGTTATCAGTGATTGATGGCCCTAGACTTATTGCTCTCACTGCGACGTTCGCGGCGATATGTAACATGTGCGGCGTAATGGGCGCAATCGTCTTTTTTGCACGTATGCGCCCCCGACGCATGTTTGCATGCGTGTATGTATGAGAGGGGACTTAAAAATTTTTTTGTTTTTTTATTCTTTTTTATGGTGTAACTTAAAATTTGGGGGGGACTTAAATTTTTTTCCCTTTTTTTTTTTCACTAAACTTTATTGCTATCACATACGGGGGCTAATAAAAACCCCTCTATGTGATAGCAAAATATGTGACAGGTCCTCTTTATGGAGATAAGAGTTCTCCTCAGCAACAAAGACAGGGCTTAGTCTGCGAAGACTAACTCCTAGTCCTTTTTTGATGCTCCATGGTCTCTATTTTTTAAGCCCAAGCCTATCACCAGGTGTGCCTGCAAATCATGGATCTTCAAGTCCTCCAAACCCTGCAGATGAATCTCTTTCAGCTTGAGGGTGCACCCCTACAGTTGGGTGACATCTGTTAGCTTTTTTCGGACAGATAGCTTGCCTCTCGTATGCTTGGGTGCAGGAGGTTTCCAGGGTATACATGCACTCCCGTCCCCTCCCCACTTCATTACTTCCAACCTTACTATGTCACCGCACAGATTGGGAGATCTCCACACAGTTCCAAACCAATAAGGGTTATCCATCTCATCTTGGCTCTCAAGGCCCTAAATGTCTTTATTAGGTCCTGAAATTCCACAAAGAATCCACCAGGTCTGTCGGAGCTTTACTCCATCAGGGAGATTTTCTGGCGTCTGGAAACATGCGTTACAATAGCGCCACACATGTTAGGTATTGCCACATTGGTCAGACTAAGAGCAATGAGTCTAGGTCCATTCTATACTGTGATTATGTGCACTAAAATTAACTTAAGGGTAGTTTTTACTGAAATTTTGTGTTTGATAAAGAGTTGAACTAATATCATGCAACTTTAAAAATGTGCAACTGCTGCCATTTTATTCTGCAGGGCCTCTGCTTTCAGGAAATATATAATTCTTGGTGATGGAGGGAGGAGTGAAGTAATTTTCTGCCTAAAATGTGGATTATAACGTGTGCAAAAATGGCTCTGACAGTGAAAGGGTTAAAAGCAATGGATAGAATGGCATACAATTGAGCTGGAGGTAAAGGCCCTTGAAGGGCTTTAGTGTTATAGAGAGAATTTAAAGGGTATTGCATAATGGCATTAAGCAGAGTCTGTTGTTTATTATGGTGTCTCTGTGATATAGTTCATAATTACTTTAGTTGTATGTACTTTATTTGTTCCACTCTGTACTACTGTTTTGTATTTCTGTGTTTTTTTATCCAGATCTTGATGATAACATGTTTGTAAAAACTTCCACCAACAATGAGTGGATTTCAAGGGGAGACTATTATGCTAACCACCAGTGCTGGAAGGTACGCTTTGTTGAAGCTTCCTTAAATGTAAATCCTTATCTGTGTATATATAATCTTAATGCATTAAAGTGGATTAAAAGCTTCCCCCCTAAAAAATTGCTGATAGGCAGGCTTTTTATGGCAGGAGAGACTGTGTAAGTGTCTTTTGCCATAAAAGCTTCTTTCTAGCTGTCAGCAATTTTTTTTTGTATGCTGTGCGCAGCTCAGCTCAGCGCACAGGCCTGGCATGCAGAGATGAAGTACCTCCATGCACAGGCCCGGAGCTACCGCAAGGCAAGTCAAGCGGCTGCCCCCGAGGGCGCTGATGGGGTGAGGGCGGCACTTTGCAGGAGGGTAGTGGATGCGGCGAGCCGGGCTGCACAGAATCAGGAAGCCTCGACTGCCTAACCATCAGGAGCCGAGAGAATGGCCGGGTGGAGGAAGAGGTGGGGCTATACCGTGCCGAGTGAGATGCGACCCGTCCGCCCCAGGCCCGCTGACAGGGCGGATTGATGGTAATTGCTGCGGCGCCGGGGAGCATGGGGGCTCCGGGGCTGTCACTGTGGACAGCGAGCAGCACTTTCCTGTTTCATGTACATCATCCTATAAAACAAACAGGGTTTGGAAATCATAGACATTGATTGTATTGTATTGTTCAGTGTGTGAACTTGTCAGTATATAAATACTTCCTGGGTATGTATTTTTAAGTTTTTACCATTATTGTCAAATATGTGGTATATTAACTAATGACATGGGAAAACTTTGTTCTCAGGTTGCTGCAAAATGTTACCAGAAGGGTGGAGCAGTAGAAAAAGAGAAACTTGCCTTTGCCCATGATGACGTTTTAAGTTTGCAGGCCAAAACTGCCAGTGTAAAGTGAGTACATATTTCACTAGTTGCTAATGTTTCCTCTTAGTAACATTTTGTTATTTACAGCAAGTCATGAGAGATTTTTACTTGGATGAGCAGGGACAGCTTTGCGAAAGTAAAGCCAGTGTGTGTGTTATGTAATGTTGTTAATTTAATAGATGAATTCATCAGATGTTTTTTCAGTAGTTTATCAGATGAATTTAAATTCATCAATACAACTTGTGTACTATGTTGCCAAAATGTAACATTTGCTATTATGAAGATGATGAAATGTTATTATGCTAATACTAGGGCCTAGAGGGCACAGGTAGAGACACTGCAAAGGAAGCCATTGACAGTTCAGCTTTTGCTGTATCTCTGCATTCTTAAATCCATTCAGAGTGCTAACCTAACACTTTTAGTTAGTAGCATTACTTATTTGCAACATTGCCAAGGTTTTCACCAAAGTCATGGCTCCAACTATGATTTAAAGAATGTTGGTTTTTATTTCAAAGTGTTTTTATTTCAGTTATATAAGGTACATACAGAAAGTAGGAAAGTTTTAATCTATTAGAATGGACCACGGCAGCCCTGATGCCAAGTTACATAATTATATATTCCAGTGTATGGGGCTGTCAAATAATTATAATTAAGGATGTCCCGATACCGATGCTAGCATCGGTATTGGGCCCGATACAGGGCATTTTCATGAGTACTTGTACTCGTGAATATGCCCCGGGAACTAAAGGCCGATACCAGCACTTTAAATTTGTTTTAAACAAAAAGGCGGAGGGGGCGTGGCCGGGTGCCGGGATGAGCGCGCGCGCAGCCTTAACCTCCCTCTGCCCGCACTCCACATGTCCGCCTCGGACTCCCGCTCGTCTCGACTTGCAGATCCGTCCCTGGACTCCTTGGCTGAGTCTCCAGCTGCCCCTGATGGAGCCTGCTCGCCAAGCCGCTCAACTGACAGCCACTCCGGATCTCCGCCGCCAGCTACAGGTGAGCCTATGCACTACAGCCCACACACACTACCGCCGGACCCGCAAGGATGCTGCATAAGCCGGGAAGCTTCCCTGCCTGTCACAGCTCCTTTGCACTTCAGCAGGTCTCCCAGCACTGTGACAATGACTACTGCTGCCATCCTATTCAACAGCCACCATTAGAGCCTCCCCTGGCTGTTCTTTCTTCTTCAGCCCCCAGATGTTAACAAGCTTCTAGATCGCAGGACCCTAGTGTGCAGCCCTGGTGAGACCCAAATGCATCCCATATGAGACCACACACAGCCATATATATTTGCTGTATAATCATGGAGTGAGGGGATCTGTAGTCCTCTATTGCGTGTTGCTGTATAATCATGGATTGAGTTACAATTCTTAAAAATTATAAAGAAATTGCCCTAAAATCATCAGTGTTGTTTTAGAATAAAAGGTCATGTCCCTTTAAGAAAAATCGGTAATTGGTATCGGCAAGTACCTGAGGGGCAGTACTTGTACTTGGTCTTGAAAAAGTGGTATCGGGACATCCCTACTTATAATATTATGAGGATATGAACCCTATAACAGTGGTGGGCCTTTCATAAGTATATGTGAACAGGTTAGAGTTATGGCCAATAAGTACCATGATGAGGGGGTACTATATATCTCCTCCTGGATTATTGAAAAAAAGAAAAGCGAGAGAATCTAGGCATGTGTGGAAGAGATACGAGCAGATAAGCCAACTGGGGAGTGTGATTACCAACCCCCCCTTTGCTGAAATAAATACTCCTAAATATTTGATAGTTTGGGTTACCCAGTGAGAAAGGACATTCTCCTTGAGGTGAAGTGCCTCTTTCTTGGACATTCAAACATAAAGTTCCTATGATTTATGTGTAATAATTTTGAAATGATTAAGTAGTCCTACAAACGCATCTCATGACCGGGTTTTGAAATTTCCCTCAACAGCTCTTACACAGAAGAGCTAGGCAGCATGTTCTCCTATCTGTTTGCTCTGCCTTTGTGGCAGGTTTCTCCCTCAAGTGGAACGCAGTACTCAGGAGATTGCTGGTGGTGCAGCTGAAGCACACTGTAGACTGCCTTTCTTTGAATTACATTGATTTTCTGAATTTGAAAATAGCTGTTTTATTTAGGTCAACATATGTAGGCATTGTTTCAAAATAAAAATTTAATTTGATAGATGTTTGTTTTAATTCAGCTTATGCACATTTTTATATAACTTTATTTTCCAGGGAAAAGCAGCTAGGATATCTAAGACTCGCAAAGACTTACTTGGAGTGCAGAGAACCAAAACTAGCTATGAAGTGCTTAAACAAATCCAAAGAATTTAGCCTCTGTGCAGAACTTTGCAAAAAAATGGAAAAGGTAAGAGTGGTTAATTGATGTAAAACAGTTGGAAAGGCGGGTGTGATGGTCTGCTTTTTTTTTTAATAGTGGTTTAGAAATACCTGACCTACTGGTCTAATAAAACTTTGATCAAACTATTGACTTTGTTTTTTTAAATGTACAAATTAAAGAAATCAGTTTAATGTAAAAAGATATATATATATTTTTAATCTGAATGTGTAGACTTGCTCAAATGATCTATGAGAATTGCCAATTTGGTCACCTCCCCTATCCTTGAAAAATGTGCCAGGCAGAAGTTTGCTCAGTGTTATCTGAAGTTTCTAATGCCTCATACCTTCCACCATACGCATCTTCCACATTGACACCTCACAGGTAACACTGACCATTCTGGAATGACAGCGCATCCACCAAATCAACATTTTAAAATTCCCCAGCTAATGCCTCCTCATGCCCTCTGACCTCCCCCTCACACCCAAATGGCCCCAGTTCAGCCACAGTGGCTGTAAGTCTGTACCTGCCGGCTGCTGCTGTCCACTCCCCACCCCAGTGTCAGGCACCGCCTGCTGCTGCCCCCTGCCAGCCCCATTCCCTCCACCCCAGCGTCGGGCCCCAGTTCAGTGTCGGGTACCGTCCTCTGCCCCCTTCCCCCAGCATCAGACACCAGGCTGCTGTAGTCACCACCCGAAGTTTGCTTTAAAATACAGTTCTTACCACTCCAGCAACTCTGCTCTACTCCCGCCTTGCTCTTCAGTGCAACCTGGTAAAAAAACAAGCTCTGCCCCCCTGAAAAAGAACCTTCCTGCAAGTGCCAACTGTACAGGGGGGGCTCGACCATGCAAAGAGCTGTACTGTACTTATTAGTCTACAGCATATGACTACATAGACCAAGAGCTGTACGGTACTTATTAGTCTACAGCATATACAGCAAGTCCTTGATTGGGGCCCGTGCCCCTTACAGGAGTACTGGCCGTACCCACCTGAAATTAAATTTTGAAACCAAAAAAAAAATTAAAAATTGTGAGGCCGAAACCTTTCCCAACCTTTAACCCTTTCGCTGCCACCGACGTAAGGCATACGGCGGAACAAAAGTGTTCCCAGCTGGCAAGCTCAGTATGCCTTACGTCGGTGGCATTTACAATTCTGCTATAAGCTCATGGTCGCTTTCGCGACCATAAGCTTATAGCAGAACTGTTCAGCAGACTTCCCCCTTCAAAATAATAGCTGTCATCAGCCGCTCACAAGCCGCTGATGACCGCTATTAACGAAAATACCGGGCGCTCCCCCCCCCCCCCGCTGGCACCGCTGCTGCCGGCCACCGGCATCTGGAGTCTCTCATCCCTGCCTGAAGCTGCTCCATGCAGGGATGAGAGACTCCATGGATCCCCACTGCTGTGCCCCACTTGTAAGGTCTGTGGCAGCGGGGATCCGATGAAAATTGGCCGGCGGAAGGGCGAGCGGCGGCTGGCCGCAATCCAGGATGGCCGAGCGGTGTTCTGATCGCAGACGCTGTCATCCTGTCAGTTTTCTGTTGCGTGGCCGAGCGGGGGGATCGTTAAATATCATTGATATTTAACAATCCCTCTGTGCAGAGCAAACACTGGAGTGTCATCGTCTGATCACTCTGGTGTTTGTAAATAACTGGGGACACATAGTACTATGTGTCCCTAGTTATGAATGAACAGGCTGTGATTTACATCACTTCCTGTTCATTCAAGAATTTATGAATGGGGACTAGCACTCACTACAGATTTTAAAAAAAAAAATGTGTACAAAAAAACCCTAAAAAAAGCACAACCCCTCCTTCCCCCCACATAGCATACACATACTGAGGTGTACGCCATGCACATGCGCTGCAGTGCGTTGTTAGAACGCATCGCAGTGCATTATTTTTGTAATTAATTTTTTTTCTTTAAAAAAAACCCATTAAATTAACTGTGGCAGCGCATGGCAAAGCTTTGTGACGCATTGCTTTTTTACAGTTTTGCGTGCCTTCATTTTTTTACCTTTTCGCAAAAAGGCGCAATTACAAATTTGCAAATATTTGTTATTTATTAACTCAATACAGTTTTATCTTTTTCTGGATATAAAATGTAACTTACTAACTTACTATGTCCACAATCATGAATGATCAGGAAGTGATGTAGATCACTTCCCATTTATTCATAACTGGGACACTGTAAGCACAATGGGGGGAATTTATCAAAACTGGAGCAGACACAATATGGAGCAGATTTGCACTGCAACCAATCAGCTTCTCTGTCTCATTTTCAAACCTTACCTGAGCAAACTGAAGAGAGATGCTGATTGGTTTCCAGTTAGTTACAAACATTCAACAATCAGCTGATCGGTGATTGTTTGTATACAGTTCTCCATCCTGAATCAGCTGTCACAGGAGGGGGAGGAGAGCTACGCCTCCTGTTAAATGACAGCTGTCACTGCCTTCACTGTTCTGCTTCCTGACTGCTGTCACCGCCCGCTCGGCCTCCTAAAAGCTTCTCTCCGCCCTGCTCTATTAGGAACAGCCCAACGCTGCTACTAAGGTGAAGTTGTGAAAGAAAGTTTCATGTGCCAGTTAATACACCATGACAAGACTGAGCACAGCAACAAGACATAAGGTAGTTATACTGCATAGCAAGGTCTCTCCCAGGCAAAGATTTTAAAGCAGACTGGGGTTTTAAGATGTGCTGTTCAAGCCCTTTTGAAGAAGCACAAAGAAACGGGCAACAGTGAGGACCGTAGACACAGTGGTCAGCCAAGGAAACTTAATGCAACAAATGAAAGACACATAATGCTTACATGGGAAGATGTCCAGCAGTGTCATCAGCACCAAACTGATGGAAACCAGTGGAACCCAAGTACACCCATCTACTGTCTGGAGAAGTCTGACCAGAAGTGGTGTTCATGGAAGAATTACGACCAAAACCTTTTGACATAGAAACAAGGCTAAGCGACTCAACTATGCACGAAAACCTATGACTTGGGGTGACTCAAACATTCATTATTGTACCGTCCTCCAGCCCTTCAGGGAACAAACTGCCTCGTGCTACAGACAAATATTTCAAATTTTTACTCATCAGTCCAGAGTACTTGCTGCCATTTTTCTGGGGCCTTGCGGCCAAAAAACACATACCTTGACCTGGAAACAAGGCAAAGTGACTCAACAATGCATGAAAACATAGGAACTGGAGTGCAGACAAATGGCAGCAGGTGCTCTGAACTGAAGAGTCAACATTTTAAATATTTGGCTGTAGCAGGAGGCAGTTTGTTCGCCCGAAGGGCTGGACAGCGGTACAATAATGAATGTCTGCAGCAACAGTAAAGCATGGTGGAGGCTCCTTGCACGTCTGGGGCTGCATTTCTGCAAATGGTGTTGGAGATTTGGTGAGGATCAATCTTGTCCTCAATGCTGAGAAACACAAGCAGCTACTTATCCATCTTGCATGCCATACCATCAGTAAGGCGTGTGATTGGCCCCAAATTTATTCTACAGCATGACAACGGCCCTGAACCTAAAGCGAATGTCATTAAGAACTATCTTCAGTGTAAAGAAGAAAGGAGTTCTGGAAGTGATGGTTTGGCCCCCACAGAGCCCTGATCTCATCATCGAGTCTGTCTGGGATTACATGAAGAGACCGAAGGATTTTGAGGCAGCACACATCTGTGAAAATCTGTGGTTTGTTCTCCAAGATGTTTGGAACAAATGCTGTTTTGAAGGCAAAGGGTGGTCACACCAAATATTGATTTGATTGGGATTTCTCTTCAATGCATTTACTTTCCATTTAGTTAATTGATAAAAAATAAACTATTTTACAGTTTTATTTCTAAAAGCATTCTTACTTTTACAGCATTTTTTTCACACCTGCCTAAAACTTTTGCACAGTATTGTATGTGTATGTATGTATGTATGTATACATGTATAATTATGTGTGTGTATTTTAGAGTAAAAGACTTCTGTATACATTTTAAGTATGATTAATACAATATTCTACTAGACATGTGAATTTAAGTTTTATTTTGTGTTCTAGATTAAGGATGCAGCATTCTTCTACAAAAAAGCACAGGATCATAAACTTGCTGCTCAGCTGTATGAGCAGGCTGGAGAATACAACACAGCATTGAACCTGTACTACCGAGAAAAGATGTATGAAGAAGCTGTTCATGCTATTGAAAGGTACATAATCTTGAAATCTGTATTTAACATAACCTTTCTGACATTAGGTTATCTCTGTTTTCCATGTCCTTTAAATATTCCATTGTTTTAACTTCCATTTTATTTCATATGATTTTAGATATCGAAAGATGTACCCTACTGCACCATTACAGATAACAGAGAAAAAGTTGTGTTTAGAAGCAGCGGCAAACTTCTTCAGAAATAATAATCTCAGCAGAATGACCGAAATGCTTTCTAAGCTTGATACAGAAGATCAGTTGATTTTCCTTAAGAATCGAAAATGTTGGACTGAAGCTGCAGAGTTGCTTAAGAGTAACGATAGATGTGAAGAAGCAGCATCTCTAATGAGAGAACACGGCATGTTGTTAGAGGCAGCAAACCTGACAAGAAGAAGAGAATTTCGTGCATCATGTTTGCTTGCAGCAGCACGGCACTGCCTGGCAAATAATCAAGACCCTGATAGTACACTTTCGGAGTCTTTACATATTTTTTACGATACAAACAACAAAGTTCAAGCTGCAGAGGCTATTCTTCTTCAGGGAATCTTGGAAAATAGCTTTACCACAATCATAGACTCATTTTATCATTTTTTGCATGCCTCCCACCATGCAGGGGTGGTTGAATCTTTATTTCATGCATTAACCTGTGAAGACCCAAACCCAAAACTACTATTTCTGGCTTCATTTGGGCTAGAATTATTGCTACAGTTGGTAAAATCACTGAAGGAAACAAGAACCAATGCAGACAGAGAAATGGTAAAGTCCTGTCTAGAGTTTTATGGAGTTGTTCAGTTGGAAGAACAACAATGCTCAATTCTAGTACATGAGGGGGCAAGATTTTCTCAGATTGAATCAGAGGAGCATAGTGAACCATGGGATCTCAAAGATGTCAAGCTGTTGCTGATTAAACACCTTTTAAAAAGACTACATGAAATTTCTGTCAAGATTCTTGAAAAAGGTTGTACAGGCATTTGTAGCAATTTCATTGTAGGTCGAGAATGTCATGATGAGAACTGCCCAAATATACATCAGACTCTGTCGCACTTTGAGTTGAAAACAATCTTGAGATCTAAGATCAATTTAATAACCATCTGTGGATTGTTATTTGAAGCACAAAAGCTCAATGAAGACTTTTCTATTGATTTCAAAACAACTGGAATGACCGCCGGATTCAAATACTGTAACTCTCTCTTAAACTTGGTGTTTGCTAAACATTTTCATATGCGCATCCTTTCAGAAAACCCAAAAATGTGCCAACAGGTCTTACTCAAAATTTCGGTGCCAGCTAAAACCATGCTGACTGAATTTCTTGCATCACTTTTGAGAGAAAGTAAACGAGATCGGAGAGAATCAACCGACCTTTGGCTACAAATAATGCAAATCTGTAGCTTACTGTCACAGTATCCAGATGCCCTGCAACGCTACCTAAATGAGGAAGAGATGCAATATAAAAGTGAACTTGAAAAACAGAACAAAATGAATGATTCACAAGAAGATGGCAATAGAAATAAATATTTAGAGGGCAGGCAAGGCATGCTGAAACCTGATACCTCCGGTGGCTGGTCCCACGTCCATTTTTTTAGGCTTCTTCAAGGATCTGTGGATGAACTGTTCATCAACAAAAATCCAGATGGTTGCAAAAGGTATTTTTACAGATTTATGAATTTTGTTGTTAAGAAATGCATTGAGCCATTGATACCCAACATCGGAAATACCATGATGCTCCTGGAATTCCAGTTTATTCTCTGCTGTGCTGTACTGATGAGGTTTTCCAAGTGTACTGTGCTGCTGCCAAAAAGTTATATTTCAATTCTCCACTTCTGGGAAACCATGTTTAGAAAGAAAAATTCACTGAAGGATACATATTCAATTTTGTGGGAATATAGACCCAGGGATGTAGGCAGGCTTACAGCACATTTCCAATATCACATTACTTATCTGGCTTCTGTTCTTTGTGGTCATGAACATGCAGAGTTCAATGTTCTTTTAGATGCTTTTAAATGTGTGGATTTCATTTCTTCAGGAGAAGCTGAAAGAAGCTTGGTGTTTTACTTGGTAATGATGGTGAACCTTGACAGTGTTGTCAGTGAAAAAGCAAGGCCCATACTTAGGAAGGATATCCCTCAACTACAGAGGAACATAAAAGATCTCCAAAAGGAATTCCCATTGGAAATTCCACAAAGATTAGTCAGTGCCGTGGACAAGGTGACCTCAACTGATAAGGATGAAGAGCTCATCAACCTCCTTCAGGATTTGCTGGCACAGCGTGATAACGAGCGCCTAGTAGAATGCTCATGGAGATGGGACACAAACTATGGAAAAGGGTCTGTACGTGGTATTTTCTTTGATGACAGATTCAAGTTTAGAAAACATGGCAACTTTCAGCAAAAGGTACAGGATTACAAACCTACTTACCTCGATCATGAACAAGACTATGAAGAAGAGAAAGCTGACCTTTTGGCAACTGTGGCTGTCCAAGCACAGAAGCAAAAGGCTCGTCAAAAAATATCTATGTTGTTTCTTTTTGCGTGCATCTGGACAAAGTGGAAAAGAGCTTGCACAAACATGTGGAAAAGACAAATGGAAGAATCTGTACCAGACAATTTTAAAAGAGCAAATGTTGACAGAACACAGTGTGACTTGTGTGGAGTAAGATTTTCTCAAGCAATGGGGGTCTCTGATCTATCTGAAATTGAAGATGACATAGAAGAAATTCCAACTCCAACCATGCAACATATTGAGGAACTGGACACCCCTAGAATACAGGACTTAAATGAAAGTTATGAAGATCACATAAAACATGAAAAACATAGACAGCAATGCAAAGCTTATGGGGAATATCTTGATTTTTTTAAACATGAAGTGGATGTGGTGATCAGTGAAGGAAGGTTTCTTGTACAAACAATTGACGCAAAAACAAAATTAACATCACATGAGGAGTTTCACCTTGTGCAGCCTAAGATTGAGAGCAAAATTAAAATTGTGTCTGATTTGATGGAAGATATCTACGAACACAAAACTTGGTCTCAAGGTAAGATCACATCAAGGTTTGTGTCTTCTTGGTTTGTAGTGGTCTTCTCTGTAGGCTCTAGATTCCTACCAAGATCCAGATATATAATGGTACTTCTGACAATTCTAACCTGGGAGTGCATGAATTTATATAGCATTAGCAGGAACATAGTTTGTAAGCTCCTGATTGGCCAAGACTGATGTAAATAGTTCCAAGTATTTTGTAAAGCACTGATACACTTATACTAATGTATTTTAATTAACATTATTGATAACAACAACTGTTATCCAAACTTCAACTTACTACTGATGGCTATGAAGGAGAATATAGCATTTCAGCGTGATACTCAAAAATACCCATGATGCTATACTTCCCCCTTAGCTCCACCCAACACTATGCTAGAGATTTTGTAACAGTGAAGGCAGAGCCCAAATTTTTGTACTGACCAAGTAGAAGCTGTCACATCCGATACACTTAGCTCCATAGACTAGATGGCTATTGTTTATCTCCTGCCTTCCATACCTCATTCCTTTATATTTACATTCATGTCACAGATGAGCTCTCCATAGTTTCTGTTCCATGCATCTGAGAAATAGAGCAGGAGTTCACCTGTGAGGTTACTGCAGTGGCTCAAAAGGAATTCAGCTGTAATGAAGGAGACTAGATCTGACGAGCGGTAAAGCTTTGTGTATGACAGACATGCATGCTTGTATGACATGCTTGGTACAAGGTCCTTGAGAGACATTAAAGTTTATTTCCACTTTTGCAGTCAAGTTTTAGAAAGCTCCACCATGTGTTTCTAATCATAGAGCATACCTAAAAATATATTTAAAAAATATTCTTACCTATTAGATGTGTCTGTGTAGCAGGCATTTGCAAGGTTCTCTCTCATTTTCAAAGTGACAGAAAAATCTGTCCCTATTGAAAGACCAGGGACAAACGGAGCTTTACCTCATCAACATACAAGGCTAGATCTTTAACCCTTTTTTGGGGCGTTGTTCAAATCTAGTTTACAACTGATAAGATCTGCCAGCACACTACAATTAGGGTTAATTTTTGTTAAAATTAACTTGCCCATCCCGCTTTCAGACTAAAGCATGTATTGTGTAAGGAGAAATCTAAAAAAAAAAGAAGAAGTTATGCTATGTGAAACATGAAACAAATATTATCCCCATCTAGCCGCAAAACTGCAAATACACTGTAATCTAGAGTGCACACAATACCTTGGCACTTCTGCAACCAGAAACCTGGACCTGTGATTTTATTACTTCTCCATAATCATATGGTGTCTTCCTATATATAGAAATAAGAAAATGTCTATATATTGCAAGATAAGTTTATCTATGGGAAGCATTTAAGGAATATAAAATTGTAAAGAAAATATTTTTCTGCATTTCCTAAAACTGACATTGCCCACCACATATAAAGGTCCCATGTGTCATTTGCTGCTCGATTGATCAATGTTATTTTACATCATAATGCATCATGACACCCTGGAATATGTGCCTTGTTTTGTCTGTTAAGTCAGTTCTAAAACATGCATACAACTAAATATGAAAAAAAAGAAGACTAAAATGCAATCCAAACAAAGAAACATACATGAATGAGGATAGGGCAATGACATCTAATTACAATCTAAGTAATGGTGTGTTTACTACTATTTAATTACGAACAAAATCTCTTAGTAAATATATGTAATATATAAATTGCCATTTAAGTGAAGAAACAGTTCTTTCTCTGAAAGGAAGGTCATTAATCTATGCTGTGCAAGTAAAGTGAGCCATAAATTAAATATTGAGCTATGTGTGGCCCTGTCAGCACAACTCCATTAAAAAAAGTTTGAGTTTTCAAACTTTTGAAGGAGCCGGGTAAAAAATTGGCAACTGAACAGTGACTGCAGTCAATCGCCGACTGTTAGAATACAATAGCCTGGCAGAAGAGATTTCTTCCATACTCGCTGTGGAAGGGCTGAGCAAGAAAAAACTACCAGTGTATGGCCAGCTTAACTTCACTTGCTGTCCCTCTTGTGTGCTGGAATCCTACTATTGTTATTCATAAAAAGAAGACACAGTATTTGAGGAATTATTGTTTTGTTAGTGCTTACACTTGGAGATCTTCTTTCCCTATTCTTGTTTTTTTTTTTTTAAATGTGAGACAGGTGCATTGTAGGATGTATAGTACACATACTGATGTAGAATTAAACTAATATATTGTATTCAACTTTGTGATAAAACAGTGATTCATCCCAGGGATGCACCCATATCGGTATCGGTGCCCATACTGTGCATTTTCATAATTACTTGGGAAAATGTCCAGATACTTAAAGCCGATACCAGCCCTATACATTTTTTAATGGATTCGGTTGCCATAAGGTCCCACTGGGGACCTTGCAGAGGCTGGTTACAGCGCCGGTCTGGCCAAACATCTCCTCCTCCCCACCGCCTGCACAGCCATGGTGAGACCTGGCACGGCTCTGGTGAGACGCCTTGCCTGCACAGCCCTGGTGAGATCGCACCCGCCCGCACAGCCATAGGGAGACCCGCAGCTGAAGTGCTGAAATTGCTGCTTATTTCACGTTGCTTCCTTTGGCAGCCTGCAAGTCTTTTTATGTAAACAAACAGCAATAAGACCTCCAAAATGTGAAAAAAATTAACTTGCCAACAGCACCTCGCCCTCCCTGCTCTTATCTGCCAGCCGGTATAGCAGTTTGTACAATGGATTTCCTAGCCCCTAGCAGTATGGAATACTCATAATGATTGCAAATGGCGAGCTCTCATTGGTCAGCATGGTCACATGATCACACTCACCAATGAGAAGCACTTCTGAGCTAGGGGCATGGTCCTGGCAGTAAGAAGGGCTTCTCATTGGTCAGTGTGGTCCAGAGGCGTCACCTGGAGCGGCCGCTGGCTATCATCCATCAGGACGTCATCATGCGCATAATGAGGTCATGTGCGTTTAACTGCCGGTGCCCATCTCGATGATGGATGCCGGCAGAGAGAAGAGGGGATGTTCATCCGGCGGGACAAGGTATGCCGCTTGGTCACCTCCTCTCTCATACAGCTGTCAGGCACTCAGTCCATGACCTAGTGCACGACTTTCCAGGGGGGGTGACACCAAAATAACTCATTTTGGTGTCACCCGGTGCAGGCTACCTCCCCCTTGCGACGCCACTGGCGTGGTCATGTTACCATGTTGACCAATGAGTTCTCACTATTTTGCAAGCATTATGAGTATTCGCCTTAGAAGACTTGTGTAACTTTCCCCTGCTACTTATCTTCACATTGCCTTATAAGCGCTATGGAACAGGTTTTAATTGAGGATATCTCTGTACTGCATTCAGCTTTCCCTCAAACCTAACCAGTCTCCAAGTCCCTGCTGCTGAAAAACACCCCCAGAGCATAATGCTGCCACAACCGTGCTGCACTGTTGGGTCGGTATTGGGCAGGTGATGAGCAGTGCATGGTTTCCTCCAGACATACCGTTTAGAATTAAGGCCAAACAGTTCAATTTTGGTTTCATCAGACCAGAGAATCTTGTTCCTCAGTGTCTGAGAGTCCTTCAGATGCTTTTTTGCAAACTCCAAGCGGCTTTCATGTGTTTTGCACTGAGGAGAGGGTTCCATCTAGCCACTCTGCTAGATCGGTGGAGGGCTGCAACTAATGATTATTCTGATAACCGATTAGTTGGCCGATTATTTAGTTGAATTTAAAAAAATCAAATACTATCCTTAAAGTGACATTAAACCCTCAGATTTTTTAACATAAACCAATACTGTAATGTGTGCCTTACTGTAATCCATGGTTGTTTCCCTTCTCTTTGCTGCTCTTCCTTTTAAATCCTCATGTCTTCTCATGCTGGGGGAGAACTTCCCTTTGCAGCTGAGTGCCTCTTCCTGTAGTGCTGGCTCAGGTTGCAAACCTACACACAGACACCATGTATCCATTTCAGAGACAAGGCAGTCTGCTGCAAAACAGAAGTTCTGCCCAGCATGAGAACAGATACAGATTTAAAAGGAAGAGCAGCAAAGAGAAGGGAAACAACCATGGATTACAGTAAGGCACACATTACAGTATTGTTTTATGTTAAAAAATCTGAGGGTTTAATGTCACTTTAATTTCAACTAAAATACACAAATGGAGTGTTTCAAACCCAGTTTACCTCAGAATAAAACTGGATGCACAATTTTTTGCAATTATACTGCACTGGAATGCACGGCATTGCTGTACCGTGCGTTCCAGTGTGGGTGATAACACTGTGGGTGGGAGGCGCGTTTGGAGTGCCATTGAAATTAATGGCACTGCAAAGCAGAATTTGTGAGGCCGAAACCAAAAATTACTTTTTTCCCTACCTTTTATCATTTTCTTTTTTTCATAATTGCATTGTTAGCACATGGCGCTTGAATAGTTTCCACCAGGGAATGACAGCTGCCAATGGCAAGATTCTGCAGACGGCACCTGAATGTAGATACAGCAGGTAGTAGGTTGGTGCAATAGCCAGCCTGCTATTGGCCATTTCAAATTGCAATAGCAGGCTGGCTATTGCACCAGCCCACTGCTTGCTGTGCCCTCCTCCGGGCATAGAGATGAGAGTTAGGGAATCCAACCAATTGATAATGAGAATAGTTGACAACTATTCACAAAATCGTTTATTATCGATTAATCTCTTCGTTGTTTGCAGCCCTATCTGCAGTGATTTTTGTCCTTCTGGAACTTTGTCCCATCTCCACACGATCTCTGGAGCTTAGTCAGAGTGACTATCAGGTTCTTGGTCACCTCTCTTATTAAGGCCCTTCTTCCCTGATTGCTCAGTGTGGCCGGGCGACCAGCTCCTTGGGAGAATCCTGGTTGTGCCAAACTTCTTCCATTTGAGAAATATGGAGGCCACCGTGCTCTTGGGAACCTTCAGTGCAGCAGAAATTTTTTGCAGCCTTCCCCAGATCTGTGCCGTGCAATCCTCTCTCTTAAGGTGCCCATACACTTTACAACCATCGCAAGACTTTTGTCTTGCGATAGTTGTAAGCTAATTAAAAGCTTGTACGATCTGCCCATCTTGGACAGGCAGATCGTACTTGTGATCATCGCAAGCCCGCCCCCCTGTGGGGCGGGCTTCCGATGACTGCAATGAGGGGCGGGCTTCCGATGACTGCAAACGGGTAGTGTGCGCGTGCACACACCGCCATTCTCGCCTGCTTGTTCGACGGAAGACGTGCGACCGTACAGTAGAAACGGTTGCACGCCTTCCATACATTTGCGATTATCGTACGATCGCGGGATTTCCCACGAATCTCGTACGATAATCGTACAGTGTATGGGCACCTTTAGCTCTGCGGGCCTCATGACTTGCTTTGATGCAGTATGCATTGTCAGCTGTGAGGCCTTCTATAGAGAGGTGTGTGCCTTTCCACTCATGTCCAATCAATTAATTTACCACAGGTGGACTCTAATCAAGGTGTAGAAACATCTCAGCAACGATCAAGAGGAATGGGAGGCACCTGAGCTAAATCCAAGTGTTGTTGCAAAGGGTCTGAATACTTAGCCCTCGTTCACACCTGAACGTTTTGTAGCGCGTTCTACGCTCGACGAACGCTCTACAAAACGCTCACAAATATAAATCCCATTGTATTCAATGGTCTCGTTCCCACCTTGGCGTATTTCCGCCCGTCCCCAACGCGCTACAAAACGGCCCACGCCTGAAAAGGTACATGTACTACTTTGGGCCGTTTTGTTGCACGTTTCCATTGGGATACAGCCAAGTAGCCTTCGGAAACGCGTGTTTGACGCGCAACTTTTTTACCGCGATTTGCAGTAAAAAACGTGCGACGGTCGCGCGACAGACACGCATATGCAATACGCCTAGGTGTGAACGAGACCTTAAGGTGCCCATACACCTTACGACCATCGCAAGACTTTTATCTTGCGATGGTCGTATGCTTATTGAAAGCTCGTACGATCTGCCCACCTTGGACGGGCAGATCGTACTTGCGATCATCGATGACCGCAATGCAGAACAGGCAGTGTGCGCGTGCGCACACCGGCCCGTTCCACAGCTATCGAACGAGCAGGCTAGAAACCCGCCGACAATCGTACGATTCTCGGGGGGTTTTCGAGCATGCTGGTTCGACAAAAGACGTGCGACCGTACAGTAGAAACGGTCGCACTTCTTCGTTCACACTGCTCGATTCTCGTACGATCGTGGGATTTCCCGCGATTCTCGTACGAGAATCGTACAGTGTATGGGCACCTTTCTGAAAAGGTACATGTACTACTTTGGGCCGTTTTGTTGCACGTTTCCATTGGGATACAGCCAAGTAGCCTTCGGAAACGCGTGTTTGACGCGCAACTTTTTTACCGCGATTTGCAGTAAAAAACGTGCGACGGTCGCGCGACAGACACGCATATGCAATACGCCTAGGTGTGAACGAGACCTTAAGGTGCCCATACACCTTACGACCATCGCAAGACTTTTATCTTGCGATGGTCGTATGCTTATTGAAAGCTCGTACGATCTGCCCACCTTGGACGGGCAGATCGTACTTGCGATCATCGATGACCGCAATGCAGAACAGGCAGTGTGCGCGTGCGCACACCGGCCCGTTCCACAGCTATCGAACGAGCAGGCTAGAAACCCGCCGACAATCGTACGATTCTCGGGGGGTTTTCGAGCATGCTGGTTCGACAAAAGACGTGCGACCGTACAGTAGAAACGGTCGCACGCCTTTCATACACTGTACGATTCTCGTACGATCGCGGGATTTCCCGCGATTCTCGTACGAGAATCGTACAGTGTATGGGCACCTTTACTGTATGCCAATGTGATATTTCAGTTTTTCCTTTTTAATAAATTTACAGACATTTCTAAAATTCTGTTTTCACTTTGTCATTATGAGGTACTGAGTGTAGATTAATGAGAAAAAAAAGAATTTAAACAACTGTAGTATCAGGCTGCAACATAACAAAATTGAAAAAGTGAAGGGGGTCTGAATTCTTTCCGAATGTACTGTCATAATGTACTGTGATCTACAGTTAAGTTCATCATCTGAGCAGCAGTGGGTATTCAGTGCCTTTAATATATGGTGGACTGATAGATGTATCCTGCATACTCATGGTGTATTAGGGAAGTTTGCACACCTGGAACAGTTTATATATCACTAGTGAGTGATAATTGTGACCACAAAAATCACAATAAAAATAATCTAATGAGGCACACTTGTGAATTCTGGCTATAGCTGCAGAACCAAAAAATGACGGCGCAACCTAGAATCAGGAGAACAATAGTAGGAACCAGGAATACATTGTTGTAATATCCTTACAATATATCGAGCTAGCAAAGAAGTGTTTATTTACTTAGCAATTTTAAGAGCTGTATTTTATTGAAAACATATTCAAAGTAAATGTGGCTAGTTTTTCAGTTTGTCTAGGTGATAAATACTCAAGTATATTGCCTTTTTGTGTTTATGCAGCTGAAGAATGTTTGTGGAGTCCTGTGAATGACTTAAGGACCAGTATTTCTGAAGGTCTTGAATTGCTGAAGAAACCTGAGCAGCAGGCCACAAAAACAACAGGTACTCTTCACTACATTTCACTGTACTGCTTTTAAATATCACTTCCTGTGAATATGTAACTAAATTCGGTTTCTCTTCCGTTCACTGAAGGACACAGCTGAATCTTCATTTAGTGGAAGGGTTATACCGCCACCTGCAGAAGTTGGATGCTAGGCAAAAAAACAACAGAGCACGGTCCTGTTGGTGGCCTAACCCCCGACTTGTTAGAGGCAGCTCAGTTTTTTACCTAGCTCCATACTGGGGATCTTCGTTTTTTTTATCTCTTTATTTTTTCTTGATGTATAATCAACAGCTGAGCGGGGTGACAGGCTGGATAATATAGATCCTTGTAGTCTCCCAGCTTAGCCTCTGAGCTCATGCAGATTCCCAGCTTTGATGCGGGTTTGGCTGCAACAGCCCTTTCTCGGTTTTGGGGCAGCCTAAGAGATACCTCACGGGGAAGGAGCATACGACCGACCGTTCAAGGGCTGGTTTGTCATAGTGTCCCCTGGCTATTGGTGCCCCCACTTTAGTGGGAGGCAACCTGTTGGTATAGATGTTACCCTGTCCCGTACCTGGAGTGGTAAGTATTGCTATTTTCCCTGCTGGACTGTTATAGGAAGCTGACCTGGGCGCCTACCCTCATCTAATGACGTGTGAGCTGGCTAAGATCAGTCCCTTTCCCCCTGGGTTCACCTCTGCCATACCTAAGTGCTGTATGTTCCTGGGTGTCACAGAACCCTCCGTGTCCTGGGCATCTGGAGGGGACTAAAGGCCAGACTCCTCCCTACCGACTTCGGACCTTGACCTAAAGGGGTTATTTTTTTGGGTGGTGGGTGCAAGGGGGACGTTGGGACTACTACTTCCACCTGGTACGGGGTGCCACGTTTTCCCAATTACGAGAGACTCCGTGGTCTATGGAGCTTTTTAGCTCTGGGCTGATGGCTGGGTATAAAGACTATAATGACTACATTTGGGACTTGAAGGAGGACTTTTGGTTCGGTTGATAGTGAGAGATGGCTTTGACCTTAGCAAGTATACCCAGCTGTGGTACCGAGATCCGTTACTTTCCTCTCTGCGCTTCCCCAACCTCCCCCTCCCTCGGCTGGAGTTTACTTCACTGTATCTGAGCCACTATGTGCTTGCTGTGTCCATGGCATGCTGTTACGATCAGGAGGCGTGGCTCTGTATAGCCGCGCTCTGTGTGCTCAGGGCTGCCTCTGAGTCGTACAGGAGGAGTCTTGTCCTACCTGGATGCCAGTTCTGGGGGAGTTCGGCTGGGTCTTGATCATCTGGTGATCTTTTCGGGTGTCATCCCTTCTTCTGGAGTCTCTGGGCCTGCTCCTAGACTCGAGTCAGGCCAGGCTGGGGGTTTTTTTTGCATCCAGAAACGTGTCGGAGTGCCCAAGTCGCCTGCTGTGTTTGTATAATCGGGCATCAATACATGCGAGTTCTTGGTCTAATGGTTTCCTTGTTCGTGGTGTTCGCATATGTTCAACTCCACTCTCGGACTCTGCAGAAGGAAATCCTTTCTCACCGGGATAAGTCCCTGTTGTCATTGGACAGGCAGTTGCTTGTACATCATTCTCTCTGGTGTGGTGGCTCGACTCTTCGATGTTTCCGAGCAGGAGGTCTTTTCTGCCAGTCCTCTGGAAGATGTGATGGTGGTCGCCAGCCTCAGCAGCTGAGGTGAAGACGGTGGTCAGCTCAAGGCCATTGGACCAGGATGGAGTCCAAGTTGCTGATCAATGTGTTGGAACTTCGAGCGATCAGACTTTGTCTTCTTTGTTGGATGGATGTTCTGCGCGGGCATCCTGTCAGGGTTCAATCGCACAATGCCACGGCCATGACATATGTAAATCATCAGGGAGGCACGAGGAGTCGAACTGCTGCGCTGGAGGTGTCTCTTGTACTTCACTGGGTGGACAGTCATGTTTAGTCTCTGACTGCGATCTACATTCCAGGAGTAGACTATTGGCAGGCAGACTATTTAGATCGTCATGTTCTGGATGGAGGGGAAGTCAGCAGATCTACCAAAGGTCAGGGACTCCCAACTGTGGATCTTCTGGCTTCCTGTTGTGATCGAAAGGTAAATCGGCTCGTGTCCAGGGCTATGTATCCTTGGTCAGATGCAGCGCATGCCTAGGTGGCACATGGGACAGGTAGGGACTAATTTTTGCGTTTCCTCCCCTGTAGCTTCTTCCAAGACTGCAACAGCAGTGGAAGTCGAGGGGATCCCGGTTCTTCTGGTGACTCCGGATGGCTTCACATTTCTTGGTTTGTACTTTCATCCAAGGGGTGTCTCATGTTTAGATTCCACTCTGATCGACGTTTCTCTGTGGGGTTTGTATTAGGTGCTTTCAATTTTTCCAGGAGCCTGCCTTTTAGAGTAAGCTGTCCTTGTTGACTTTATCTCAGGTGATGGCCTTCTGGTGGCTACACCTTAGCCCAGAAGGTTTTGGAATTGGCGGCCTTGTCTTGTAAGCCTATGTTTTTATTTGCTCTTACATAGGGACAAAGTAGTTTTCCGACCATGGCCCTCCTTTTTTTTTGCCTAAGGTTTCTGCATTCTACCTCCAGTGAGGGTATCGTCCTTCTTTCCTTTGTCCCTGTCTGGCGGATCCAAAAGAGGTGGCCCTACATTGCCTGAATGTGGTTAGTGCTGTGCAAGTTTATGTTTATCTTTTTTGCAACAGAGCCCTTTCGTAAGTCCGATTCCCTTTTTTGCTGTCACGAGGGTCCTCTGAAAGGGGAGGCAACCTCCATTTTGCAATGGTTAAGGCGAGTTATTGTTCAGGCTTTTCGCCCTCAGGGGTCAGTCTCCTTTTTTATGGTTACGGCCCAATCTACTAGAACAGTTAGCACATCTTGGTCTTCTCGTCTTCAGACTTCTGCTGTGCAGGTTTGTATAGCAGCCGTCTGATTGTCGGTGCACTCTTTTATCCATTTTTAGAGATGTTGCTTTTGTTGATGCGGTTTTCGGCCACAAAGTTTTACTAGCAGCAGTTTTAGTTGTGTGGGTGCCTTTTTTCTTGTTTCATTTTGGTTTCCCACCCTCCGATTCTCACTGCTTTGGGATGTTCATTCCGTTAAATGAAGATTCAGCTGTGTCCTTCAACGGAAGAGAAAATAAGATTTTTTTGTACTCACCATAAAAATTTTTTATCTGCGTTCATTGAAGGACACAGCTCCCTCCCCTCTGGAGTTGTCTGTGTCTTTTTTTTTCTTCTGTCTACTGCTTTGTAAATAACTAAGCTGCTTCTAACAAGTGGTGTTTGAGCCACCAGCAGGGGCCACCCCCAGGGCTGTGCTTTGTTGTTTTTCTGCCTAGCGTTAAACTCCTGCAGGTGGCGGTATAATCCTTATGGGATTTTCTATTGAAATACCGCACCACCATATCAAATCCACGTGGTTGTGGCTCTGTCCTATACATTTTAATTGCCATGTTGGACAAGTGGCACTGCCTGTCAAGCGCACCATGCTGTGGCAATGTGTACAGCACTGTGTGGCCACAGTACTGACATTGCGGCTGGGGTGTGGTAAAACCGCACATGAAGCACATGGTTTACCGCCCTTGTGAATGAAAAGCCTAAGAGAATTTAAACATTCTTGGAACAAACGCAAATCAAAAAAAGGGGCAGTTTCAAAGTGTCACTTGGTCTTTTTCTACCATCACTCTTTTATGTTTCTGTGTATTTTTCTTCACTCCTGGCAGTAAAGGGTGTGGTGGGGGAAACGAAGTAAAGGTAACTGTATGTTGCTGGGGATAGGAGTTAAGTGACCCTGTTACTTTGCCCTGTATGGATAGCATCAGCCTTCATAGCTTTCTGTTTTTTACAGGATGGCTTGATCTCATTTCATTTTTATATGCTTTAATAATTTATTAAAAAGCATGATCTTGTCTAAGTAAATGTATGCACGGTTTTCTGTGTTGGGCTTAGTCTAATCTTCATTATGTTAAGTTTGCCTGGTGATTGCACGGGCCTTTATTAACGAGACCTAAAATCAAAAACCGGGGCACCTTTATTTAAAGACTCTTGTTATATGAAAATGTTTGATGGTATGAAAAAAAATCACCTGTTGCTGTAATATCTGAACCTCCCTCATCTGGCTGGTAATGTGTCTATTGTGTGTCAAGGGGCTTTAGAAATAATGTTCAAGCAGGGTTGCTGTCTCTGCTTAAAAAATTTCTGCTTTGAATTTTTAGTGCTAATCTGCCAAAACTATCATATTTTCATGTACTGCATCCATGTACCACGTCATTCTAGCCTCTATCACAACTATCATAGGTATTTTTGTGTGCTAATTTAAATATCTTTTTGTTTGGGTTCCAGGGATCCAAGATGAATATGAAGTAGACTATGGAGATTTTGAAGAACTGTGCAACAAGAAAAAGAGAGGCAAGCGAAAGGCTAAACGACATTGATTCGGCAGATTAGGTAGCCAAGCATAATGGCTATTTGTGATAGCAATCACGTGAAGTTTTTTGTGCCAAATGTTCACCATATTGAAAGAAAAATAATCTGCCAAATTTACACTGGTCTGTTTAGAGAACTCAAATATTACACAGAAGTGGCTAGTTTATGGGTATTTTTATTTAGCAAGTTTACCTGTGATATTTTAATTTTTATTTACAAGTTGAAGTGACTTGATCTTAAACTGTGCAATGTTGGCACTTTTGTTAAAGCCTTGTCAGCCTAAAATATATTAGAACAGTAATTTTCATATATTATTGACTAAATGTTAATTAATGAAGCACATTCTTTGATTATGTTAGCTGACTTGCGATAGTGCACTAAAGTTTATTTTACAGTTATGCAATATTCGAAAATGCTTTCAGATTTTTTTTGTCTATTTCTCTTTATTGTTTTTATATACAAATGATAATGTTGCAAGGAAGTTAAAACGCAGTTGAAATGTGTATTGTTATTTGTTTCAGTTACCAAAGAATTAATATATTTGTTAGGCCAGTCCTATGATGAAGACACTTGACCAGCCATGAAGATCAGATTATTATTTCTTAGTTCAGTTTTGTGGCTTTCTGGATAATACTGGAAGCTGCAAAGCTGAACCAAGAAATTGGATTGTAGCCTGGCTGGGCAGCACAGCAGAGGGATATAAATTGCAAACTCAACCAATCATTTGGCAAGTAAGACAATTTCCATATATTAGTATTTCAGCTTTATATTTGACCAATTGTGCATACATTGGTCAAATAAATTAGCAAAAAAATAAACTTCTCAAGTACATTGCAATTTATTAGGCATGCAGTATTGTAACCAAAAAAGTGTATACAGCTACATTACAAACCTAATGCAGTTTGTAATAAAAAAATATTATTTACTGGCTTTTTTTTTGCTGATTGGCATTGAAGATGATTACTTGTTAAAAAATTTATTATTATTAGAAAACATTATTTTGAGCTGTGCTATATAGTTTAGGTTTTGTGTACAATATTATTTTTCAGATTCACTTTTATATTTAAGAATCAATAAATAGGCCCAGTAGTCCAAGTTCCGCTTTTAACGTACTTATTGCTTGTTTTACATAAAGCATACAGGAACGCAAAAAATTGTATATTAAGTTTCTAACCTTATTTTGTTTTAAAAGACCACCAAGGTATTTTAATTAAATGAAGGGTGAAATAAAGCGTGCATAAGAAACTTAAACCTTTGTTGTTAAACCAGCCCTAAGCTGAGTCTATTTGTCCTGCGGCTCCCCCTCTCAGGGTATGTGAGACCTTGCAAATACTAATTATCAAAGATATAATGAGCTGGACGATGACAGGGCTACAAGTGAGAACCTGAAGTTTTTAAATGAAAGTCAGATTTATAAACTGCACTTACTTGAGTTCATCTACTAAACATGAGTTAAAAACGTTTTGCTTACTTCCAAACAAGGGTTACTGTTTGTGATCATTGACTTAACAAGTTCCTTTTTAGTCTGTTTAGCACAGCTGATTTTGAATAAGGGATCAGACTTCAGACAGTCTTATGTGGATGGTAAAGAGATAGACTTTACTACTTTCAAGAAGGGTCTCTTTAAAATAAATAATAAGTGTTTAAACAATGTTCAAAAACATACCTTTTTTTTTTTAAACAAAAGTATTTTTTAATATTTTCTATTGTGAGATTTGGTACCTTTTAAAGTTGTATATATTTGTGATTGGACTGTTGCTGATCACACCATGTTGAATAAACATATTTCTTTAAAAAAGATTTGTATGTTCTTTATTGCTAACTAGTAACACACTCAAGCTAGGAAGTCAAGAATCAAACAGTGTATCATGGCTTATGAACAAATGTATGTTCTGTGGAATGTGCTGCCTTCATCAGTGAAGATAATTCTATGGAGTTACCTAAAGTGACATTAAACCCTCAGATTTTTTTAACATAAAACAATACTGTAATGTGCGCCTTTCTGTAATCCATGGTTGTTTCCCTTCTCTTTGCTGCTCTTCCTTTTAAATCTGTATCTCTTCTCATGCTCTGCAGAACGTCTGTTTTGCAGCAGACTGCCTTGTCTCAGGAATGGATACACGGGGGTTGATTTACTAACCTTATAAACACACCACGAACATGTATACACCTCTGTAGTGTGTTCCCTCCCAGCATGATCTATGGGTGGAATCTAAACACCTTTGTAGTGTGTACACACCCAGCAGGTGTGTTGTGCAAAGCCCTGCATG